CCCTTCCTTTCTGAAATCAATACAAATATATTAAAAATAATAATGTTACCATATGATTTCACTTATATGTGGAATCTGATGAACGAAATAGGCTGATGAACAAGATAGGTCCAGAGCCATAGATACATGGAACAGATTGATAGATCTCAGAGGGGTGGGGGATGTGAGGGACTGGAAGAGATTAGTCAAAGAACATATATGCATATATGTATAGCCCATGGTTACAGACAATAATGTGGTGAAAGCTGGGGGAGTAGGTGGCTGGTGGAGGGGGTAACAGGGATGATGGGAGACATCTGTAACTGTCAACAATAAAAGAAATAATTACATGTTACTGTCGCCTCACATCTAGTTTTGCTGAGAATGCTTACATATCATTGAACCCCATTAATTTCAACTACTGTCTTTCTCCCATTAGGCTATTTCAGGATGTTCTCTTTAACCACAAATGTATGAAATATAGTGACAATATGCTCAGGTGTAGCTTGTTTTTGTCTTTTCCCCTTTGTCCTGCATGGCACTTTGTGGTCACTTGTAAACCAAGAACTTGTGTCTTAATTTATTTTCTAAGTTCTGGGAAATTTTCAGCTAATACTTTGGTCAAATGTTACCTTCACTTTTTTTCTTGTTTTTAGTCTTTCTATTCTTTTTCCCTGGAAGTTAATTAGGTATTTACCATCTATAGTCCTTGTGTTATCTTTTGCCTATGTACCATCTTAAAACTGGAAAGCCGTCCATGTTCACACCATATGGAAACAATCTTTCTAACATGTAATGTTGATGATGTCTCTCTCATAGCTACCGCCACAGTTTTCTGGTTTCTCTGCAGAAAAATACAAGACTTTTGACCATCTGATCCCTGCTTCTCTCTCCAGACGTCCCTTGCCTGAGCCTTTCCTCCAACTCCAGCTGCACTTAGACATATATATATTTTTATTATTAAATATATTTTTATTGATTTCAGAGGGGAAGGGAGAAATAGAAACATCAATGATGAGAGAGACTCATTGATTGGCTGCCTCCTGCACACCCCACACTAGGGATTGTGCCCTGACTGGGAATTGAACCGTGACTTCCTGGTTCATAGGTCACCAGCTCAATCCCTGAGCCACGCCAGCCGGGCATGATCACTCATTTTAAATGAATGCACCTCTCATTTACCTCTATTTGCTCTCCTGGAATGAACCCCTCCTCTCCACTGGCCTTCTCATGACTCTATCTGCCTAACTTGTACTTGTCCTGCAGGTCTTGGCTATGACCTCGTCTCCCCAATGAGCCTTCCAGGCCTGCCTTCCTCGTGGGTTGTATGCCTTCCAGGGTCTCCTGTAGCACAACCAAGGTCACTGCCGTTGTAGTATGTACCTCACCCCATTTTAACTAATGATCATCTCTCCTCCACTATTGACTGGAAACTGCTGAGGGGCCGCTACAGAATCTTCATTGTTATAGCGTCACAGAGTCTGGGACATAAAAGTTGCGCAATTCCTATATTTTGATTTTTAAATGTTGAATGTGAGACAGGGAAGCAAAATAAACCAAAAACAAAACAACAGAAAAAAACATAAACAAAACAAAACAAAAAAACAAAAGAAAACCCCCACCATCATTTACTGTTTTTGGAAGCCTGGTTTTGAAAGAAAGGTCTTGGTTGGGTAGTAGCCAAAAGAGTTGTTCTGATCAATGGTAGATTTTTTTTTAAAAAATGTATTTTTTAGAAGAAAAAGGAAAAGGGAAATAGCAACAACAACAACAGAAGAAAAAAAAAACCCAAGAGAAATTAAGTAACAGATGGAACATTACTTTTTCTTTGGCAGGGGCGGGGGGGGGGGGGGATTGGTGGTAAGAAGGGAGTGGATCAGAACCAATACATATGAGAGGTCAGCCTGAAAAAGGAGAAGGAGAGGTTCTTCGTCAGAAGAAAAAAGGGAGGTGAAAGGGAGAACTGAGAGAATTTTTAAATATGACAAAGTGAAGATTTCACCCCTGAGTATTATGCTCAGTGAAATGTCAGAGGAAGACAAATACCATATGATTTCACTTTTATGTGGAATCTAAAGAACAAAATAAGCGAACAAAACTTAAACACTTATAGACACAGAGAGCAGACTGATGGCTGCCAGAGAGGAGGGGGCTTGGGGGACTGGGTGAACGAGGTGAAGGGATTGAGAAGTACAGATTGGTATGCGAGAGTCCACGGCCAGCGTGGCTTTCACGGGTTCAAAGACTTGTAGGGAGGGCTAACGCGCAAATGATACACACAAGATGGAATATTAATTTTTATAATTACCGGGGGAATCAGAGGACAGCCTAACCATGACGGTCAAGCTCTCTCCGTTGCTCCGTTCCCAGCTGTTTTTATTAGCTAGAATACACAACTGCCTTTAGGAATGCAAACAGACATTCAATGGTAATGTTTAGCAAACAGTAAGATTGTCAGGTCTTGGGGGAGTTTGCTTTAGGCCATTGAGTCAGCAGCAGGTAATAAAATGTAGATATTCACCTTGTGAATATCAAAAGGAGTCCTGGTCAGCCTTCTGCCAGACTTCTCACATTTATATCAATTACTGTTGATCTTGGTCTGCAGCATTGGTAGTTACAAAAAACACAGGGCTGTCAAGTACAGCACAGGCAATACAGTCAATAATATTATAATAACTGTGTGTGGTGTCAGGTGGATACTGGAAATATCAAGGGGAACACTTTGTAAAGTATAGGATTGTCTAACCACCGCGTTGCACACTTGAAACCAATACAAAATGATATTGGATGTAATTGGAAAAAAGAATAGCAGAGCTTTCCATAAATATAAAGATTTATGGGAAGTTAACATCTATGCTACACCAAGAGTGGCTTTCCCACTATCATAAAATAAACCAATTAATAATTATACTTTTAAAAAATGCATTTCACCCCTGAGAGTTGAGACATTTTTCTGTGAAGTAGGAAGCCAGTTCCAAGAACAGACCAACAGATGTGCCTGGCAACTGAGGACAGTGTTCGGAGTCCTGAGATAGCCCGTCAGGGGAAAGTCTGCCTTGGACACATGAGGACTCTCAACTCCTGCTGACAGCCCTACCTAGGAAGGCAGTTCTGCTTAAAACAAAAGGAAAATTTGTGACATTCTCCTCTGAACGAATGGCTCACAGTAACATCAACTTTATAACAAAAATGACATTGAAGAAAACGGTGTTAATGGAGGACCATGAAAAGCAGGGGACTGGTGATGCAGCCCACAGTGGTCAGCCTTGTCTAGATGGCGATAAAGAAAAGAGAGAACAGAACCAGCACAGGATCTGTCTATGGCAGAGTTAAAGGTGTATCACTCTCTTTTTTCTTTTTCTTCTTTTGTTTTACTCTGACCTCCTCTTTTTGTATCTATTCATCTGCTCTTAGGATATAATCCTAATAAAAACCCAAGTTAATTAATAGCTTCAAAAACCACCATATTATGATAGTTTTAGCAAACTATGCCCAGTTAAATAGTTTAAAACAGTCATAATATGTCTGGCATTGGTTATTTAGTACCTTGTAAACATATTTCTATAACAGTTAATAAAGTTATAACTTATAAAGCATACTAGCAAAGATTTCATTATATTGTTATGTAAAATGGTTGTTATGTGTTGTGATGTTATATATTTGAGCAAGACAGGAGAATTTATTGCTTGAATTTTAAAAATAATTTACTTAAATTCAATTCTCACTATAATTTACTTTCATTTAAGGCTCCTAAATAAACTATAGATCATTTATAATATATTTGGAAATATAAGGCTCCAATATAATTATGATATATGTAAAATATACAGATAAAGTATTTCTCTTAATAGCTTATAAAATGTATAAGAAAAACATTAAAGCACAAAAAAATGAACAAAGAATACAAATAATTAACACAAAATAAAATGCAAACATGTGAAGCTTCAACCTCACTATAAGTTAAAAAGTAAATTAAAACAGTTTCCATGTTATGTCAGCAAATATGCATATATTCCTAATTAGGAAACTATATGTACTATAATGATTTCAAGTATATATAGATGAAAGAAGAAAAGAGCTGAGTGTTTTGTTTTGTTTTGGTATGGAGAAATTGTAGTGATTTTCTTATTCAATTTCTATACTTTACCCCATTATACAAATTTTCTTCAGTGGACATAATTTTTTGAAAGTTATATAACATACTAGAGGCCTGATGCACAAAATTCGTGCAAGAGTAGGCCTTCCTTCCCCTGACTGTCAGCACCACTTCCCTCTGGCACCCAGAACCTAGGCTTCCCTCCGGCTGCCACAGGCACCTGGGACCCGGGCTGCCCTCATAGCCCTGGCTTTGTCTGAAAGGTCGTCCAGAAAGATGTCCGGTCTAATTAGCATATTATGCTTTTATTATTATAGATTACCAAAAAAAGCAGCAAGAATACTGCTTGGTGTTCAAAAATTTATCTGGTAATATTCAAAATAAAATTGTTGTTGCTTAAGGGTGAAAATAGAATATGTAAAGCCGACACAAATTTTTTTTTAATTGGGAGTACAACAAATGTGTGTGTGTGTGTGTGTGTGTGTGTGTGATGTACATACACTTATATAGGATAAAAATCATTTAAAAATAACAGTAAATACAGAAAAAACTGCTGATGAGGTGAAGAGGGAAATCAGCACTCACAGAATCATAACACACTCAACAATTTCAAAATCTGAACAAATGCTGCGGTGCTTCCCATTGTTTTCAAAAGGTTTGTTTGAACTGCTTCCAATGCAGGTGCTTGTTCCTTTGTGAGCTAAGGGGCTCCTAACCCTGTGGATTTCAAACAATTTCTGAAAAGGTTTCAGAGGAAGGTTCTTGGGTCGTCCGTGGGTATTAAAGCAAACTCAGAACCCGGATGTATCATCACCTGGTGTGCAGCAATCACGGCGCCTCTAGCTGTGGATTACATTCCTCACATAGTTCAGCAAGATAATTTTTTAGTGAATGTCATATTTCAAAAAAGTCACGCTTCAAAAAATTCAAGTTTATAGTTTTATTTATTCAAAACCCAGTGCCTGGTTCTTCAGATAACTTCATTAACACCTTCTATTGTCCCTAAATTTGAGGGGGAGAATAATTTTACAATGTATTCATTTATTAACTAAATATACAAAATGTACCTAATATCGATGTTGACAATTTTTAAAAATTATATAAAACGCAAATTATTACATATAACATAAGCTTATAGGACATCGGCAAGGAATGACTGGGTTTCATGGGTCGTCTGAATGAGAGAGGAGTTTCCATCTCATGGTTGTATCAACCTCTTCGTCAAAATTTCCCACCGTCTGCTCCTTAGAAAGCTCTACCAATACCTAAATAAGAAACAAACAAGGAGAAAAAAGAATTATTGAGTCATTGACTGTCTTACAGACAGGAACAATGTGTGTTACTGTCACGTGCAATTTACAAAGACCACGCAAAATGGTCAAAGTTGGCTCACCTTTTCCAACGTGCACTGCGAGAGGCTGTATTCCTCCAGGTTAAAATTATGTTTCACTGGGGGGGGAAAAGACTAGTAGTAGATGCTTATAATTTATTACCAATAATTTTTTTTAAATCATATGAAATAAAAATGCAAACCATTCATATAAATGGACTACAGAGCTGAACAAACAAATGCTTGGTGAGATAAAGAAATAATGAAAAGTCAGAATATAAATACACATGGAATAAATCTTGATATTAGAATTTTCTCATATTACACATTGGTCGCACACTGGTGTTTTATTACTTAGTTGATGTGTCCTGGGAGATACCTAGGCTCCTGGAGGGACTTCATAACTGACTGACAGACTCTTACACGAGGGGAAGATTTCAATTCCATTCCATTCCCTTTAAGAGAACCCACTGCTTCGGTGGAACTGCGTGCTTCAGCCAGTTCATATGCTGCACCAGCTCTCCGCTGGGCATCCCCACCAGGAAATCTGCCTGAGAGTGGTCACCAATTTATATATTCATGTGTTCACAGTTCGCCATTTATACATTGAGAACCTTCCATGAGTGGGAGCCACCCTTAGGTGGCAGGGAAAGAGCTGTAAAGGAAATAGGTAAAACAAAAACCCCTGCCTTTGTGTAGTATGCATTCTAGCGGGAGGAATATGGGCATTAGGTAAATAAGCAATATATAATAAACATATTAATTTACATTAGTATAATAAAGTAAATGGTAGCTACTATCGAGAAAAAATAAATCAAGTGCAAGAATAGGAAGTGGAGGGCACTCTTCTTATAGATAGCTAGGAAGGGCCACAATAACAAGATCATAACTGAGCAGGAACCTGAAAGAAGTGAGGAAGCAGCTTGGAAACTTAGGAAGTAGAATTCCAGAAAGAAGGATTAGCAAGTGCACAACCCCAAGGCAGGAAGTCAGGGTGTCTAGAGTGGGAGGAGCAAACCAGAGGTTTATATTATGTCAAGCACTGTTCTAGGCACTGTTCTAGGCTCTTCGTAAATGAGCTCATTTAATCCTCCCAACAACCCTGCCATGTGGCACTGATGCTATCCCCCATTTTAGAGATGAGCCATCCAGATGCACGGGGATTAAGCACCTTTGTCCAGTGTCTCCTAGCTCGTAAGCAGCAGTGCTGGGATGGGAACCCGGAGAGCCTGGTGCTAGAGATGGAGCTCTTTGCTACAATGCTGTGCTCGGAAATTCCACCATGATGGTTTGTTTTGGAGAACAACCCAGTGAAAAGTGGAAAAATGATGACAAAGACAGAAAAGGGGCGATTTCAAGTGGCGAGAGGAGTCATGCACAATGCAGGGCACAGCCTTAGCTGGAGACACAGGCTGTTCATGCATCTTTAAGGCAGAACACACAGCACAGACACAGGGAAGTTTCCTGCTGCCTTCATTTTATGAGTGAAATATAAAGCAAGGAATCAACTGTGGGAGAAGAGCAGGAAGGAGACAGATATGCAAGGGGAGGGGGAATGAAGTAAGAATTCAGGACACTTGGTATGAATGGATTGTGTACATGTAAGCAAAGCAGACTGGACTAAAGGGCTTTCTGAGTTTAATGTTATGAATTCACATTAAAACCAACCAAGCACAATTGTGTGTTTTCTGCAGTTTCCATCTGCACTGGAAATTAACCTCTTTCCAGAGGCTTGGGTGAACCAAAACTGGGGTTAAATCCTGACCATTATGTACCATTAGGATTCTTAAGATCATACGTATCCTACAGGATCTATTTTTTAAAATGTATTACACAATTCTCTCCTATTAAATTACTATCCAAGCCTGAATTAATTCTTCAAAAGTTTTCTTGTAAAAACGGTCACTCTTACCTGCCTCTAATTTGTAAAAGGCCTGAGATAGAGGGTGAACATCTGCCACGGGCAGTTTATAGGCCAAGAAGGTGGAATACCTGGAAGTAGGAAAATGTCATATTTCACCTTGAGTTTCAAGGAGAAAAAAGACCATCAAAATAAATATTATCAGCAATTTCCTTTTTGAAATAAAAACAATGCAAATCAGATCTGGCTAGCTGGCTCAGTAAGTTAGAGTGTCATCCTGTGCACCAAAAGGTTTCGGGTTCAATTCCCAGTCAGTTCACATTATCTAGGCTGGGGGTTCAATCCCTGGTTGTGGCACTTCCAGAAGGTAACCAATGGATGTTTCTCTCTCTCCCCCTCTCCCTTTTTCTCTCTAAAAATCAATAAACATATCCTTAGGTAAAGATTAAAAAAGTAATAATGCAAATTAATGTAGTTCACATATGAAGTAAATAATCTAATTTACCAATGGACATTTCTTAAAATGACTTTGGTAGTTGGCTGTAGGAGATAATTCTCCTAGAAAGAATCCAGCATAATTATACTTACTCTCAGTTCACACAAACCTTTTTCTTTTTGAACATAGCTATTCTGAATCCCTTTGGTAAATTCAAATTAGGCTGGAATTAATCTCACTCAATAGTCCATCCTCGTCACCAGAAAGCTGAGATAGATAGGAGTTTGGGAAAGAGGGACATAATAGTGGGTGGGGTTCAAAAGGTTTTAACTAAAAAACATCCCTGACCTCTGAGGAAAGAAGAGCCAGGACTGATGTTTGGCATCTTGCTTCCACATGCTACTTCTGGCTGTGTGACCTCATGCCCCATTCTCAGCTCCTTCCTGAACAGAAGTCTGGTGCTCCCAGGTAGCTCCAAAGCTGCCCAGACTTCTAGGACTGACCTCCTTCATCCCAGACGCTGCCCTTCCAGCCTTACCCTTCGTGATCTTTCCATCTACATCAGAACTTCTTCTCAGGTTTGTGACACCAAAGGTCTAGGAATAGGACTATGACATGCCCTGCCATAGACCTCAGATAGTGCCATTTATACTGTGCTAAAATGGAAATAGCAGTTATGTTCTGCTTCTCTGGGGTGATTATCTCTCCAAAAAATTTCAAATTCAGTTCCTGCTCCATCTCCTTGCCCCCCTCCCCACCAATAACACACATACACACACACACACACACACACACACACCTATTCTCCATTTTGTGTCATGAAAACTTCATCAATGGACAACTCTTTGATTATCTCAGTTGCTATTTGTTCCCTATGAAGGGAAGTTACCCTAAACAGTTACATCTTTTAAATTATAAATATTAACATCTTTTGAATATTTACAGGGAGGCCCAAGGAGGATGCCATGGGCCTGACTGTGGCCCTGTGTGGGTTTTAATAATCAGAAATCCCCCCAATTTTTCCAAGTCTTTTGCCAGAGCTGGGATCAGCCATGGATGGCAGCAGAGACCCATGAAGGCTGTCCCCAAGCTTCCCTGGGGGATACAGCTACCTGGGCAGCTCCCAAATCTCATAATCGGTAAGACTCAACAAGTCCATTTTTGAGGCCCCAACGTTCATTATGAAGTCACCCTGACGTTCTCTCAGAGCAGAAGAGGAACCATCGAATGGGTAAAGACAACATGTTTCTCCATAATCAGAAGCTCCATTCACCTTTCCTGCAGGGCAGCCTGTGGGAAAAGCTTCAGAATCTCAGTGTGGACCAAAGTCACTTGAGAAGCTTCCTGTACTTTTAGTTCTAGAATGTAATCCTTGCCAAGTTTGCTTTTCAGGTGTTGGATGGAGCCAATGCATCTATGGACAAGAAGGAAAACATGTTGGAATGAATATTGGCTCTGAAATTTTTTACATTATTTCAAATATAAGGGAAAGGGCATCACGGAGCTGAAAAGAAGAATTCCATCTGGTGATTGTCTCCTTTTCATAGGGAATCTCATTTTGGGGGGGTCAAGTGAAGGCTATGGAAAGACACCCACCTTAGCCTTCCAGACACCATGATGGCGATGCGGTCACAAAGAGTCTCGGCCTCCACCAGGTTTTGGGTGGTCAGGAGGGCCGCCTTCTCTGTGTTTTTAATGGTTGACTGAATCATGTGCCTGAAGTAAACCATTAAAATCAACACCATTAAAAAAAGAGCATGAGATGGGGGGGGGGGGGGGAGGGGTTGGGGGCGGAATGAGATAAAGGGGAAATTTTATAGGCAAAATACAGTTTATGAATCATATTTAGATCCTAATTTAGAGAAATGTGACTACTCATTAGGTTTTTATAGCATAAAGAAGGTTTTAAAATATTTTTATTAAATTATTTATTACCATTTAGGAGTGATTCTGGTTAAGTTAAAGAAAAATTCCAGCCTAGCTGGCATGGCTCAGTGGTTGAGCGTTGACTTATGAACCAGGAGGTCACAGTTCAATTCCCAGTCAGGGAACATGTCTGAGTTGTGGGCTCGATCCCCAGTAGGGGGAATGCAGAAGGCAACTGATCAATGATTCTCTCTCATCATTGATGTCTCTCTCTCTCCCTCTCTCCCTTCCTCTCTATAATCAATAAAACTATATTAAGAAGAAAACTTCTGTATCTTCTGTAGAAGCTAACTGAAATATTTATCAATAAAGGACCTGCTGCCTAATATTTGCTTCAAAATAACTGGGGAGTGGGGAAATGAAGTGGGTGGAGGTATAGATGGAGAAATATTGACCTTGTGTGGATAACTGTTGAAACTGGGTGGTGGGGAAAATGTGTTCACAAATGATTCTCTTTACGTTTGTATAACATGTCCGTAATAAAGTTCTTTTTAGAGATTGGACATTCACAAATATGAAACTGAATTGGAAAATTTTTTTAAATATATATTTTATTGATTTTTTACAGAGAGGAAGGGAGATGGATAGAGAGTTAGAAACATCAATGAGAAAGAAACATCGATCAGCTGCCTCCTGCACACTCACCACTGGGGATGTGCCTGCAGCCAAGGTACATGCCTTTGACCGGAATCGAACCTGGGACCCTTGAGTCCACAGGCCGACACTCTATCCAGTGAGCCAAACCGGTTAGGGATGAATTGGAAAATTTTATTAGTCCAAATCGAAAGTCTCAGATAGGAAACTAAAAAGAATTTAAAAACTAAGAAAAGTTATATAAACAAACTTGACAGATTAGGTAACAGGGTGGGGGGAGGAAATGGGGAAATTATGTCACTAACTTAATAGTTTCTAAGGAAATCGTTATAGACATCTCAATAAGTAAAAGACAAAATCAAAATACACTCCAAATTGCAATACCTAAAACTCCAACCAAGTCCTTAAGGGTGCTTTTGTTTTTGCTGTTCTTAAAAAATGTGAATACCACATGAATACGCTACATTAGCGAATCTAGAAGGGTTGGGCAGAGGGGTAAGAGATCAACCAAATGACTTATATGCATGCATATAAGCATAACCAATGGACACAGACACTAGGCGGGTGAGGGCATATGCTGGGAGAGGCGGTGGGGAAGGCGGGGGGGGGGGAGTTAATAGGGGAAAAAGGACACATATGCTCTACTATGTGTAATACTTTAAACAAAAATAAAAAATAAAAAATAAAAAAATGTGAATACCACATGAATATGCTGCATTAGCAAATCTATTTGTTCAATATTTGTTTTCCTAATAATATGGAGTATCTTCACTGAACTGGGAACCCGTGGATTTGCTTTTCTACGACCAGTTTAAGAATGCAACGTATACATGAGGTTTCTACTGCTGGCTCTGAGGGGGACAGTTCTCACCACATCTGCTGCTGTCCTGTAGGATCCACGCCTGTAGATGGTTCATCCAGGATCAGGATGGGCGAATTTCCCAAGATGCTCAGCATGAAACACAACTGAAATGCAGAGAAACACCTCTATCTGCTGCCAGCACCACATCCGCCCTCAGGATAACAGCACACACCACACATACCTTTCTGGTGGCCCCTGGCGTTAATTTCTGCACCGGGACATTCAGCTCTTGGTGCAGTTTGAAGGCATCAACCAATCTGATGGGAAACAGGAAGAGAATGGGGAAAAGGTCATCACACGGAAGAGGAACAGCCTTCGGGGGAAGCTGGGTGCTATTATTCTCAACACTCTAACTCTAGTGACCAAGGGAAAGGAGAGTTTATTTCAGAATGGGAAAATTTTTTCATTTCGTAAACAGGTTTTAAGAGTAGCTAGAATTCTGTTAGGAACGGAAATGGATGATCATTCATTCACTTGTCAAAAACAGCCTTTGTTGCCTGGCTGGTATGGCTCAGTGGTTGAGTGTCGGCCTATGAACCAGGAGGTCATGGTTCCATTCCTGGTCAGGGCACATGCTGGGGGTTGTGGGCTCGATCCCTAGCGTGGGGCGTGCAGGAGGCAGCTGATGGATGATTCTCTCTCATCATTGATGTTTCTATCTCCCTCTCCCTCTCCCTTCCTCTCTCTCTAAATAAATAAAAAAGTATCTTGAAAAAAAAAGAAAGTACTGGTGCTGCCAATTCAGCATCAGAGTACAGAGGAAAAGAGAACTTTAAAAAAACAAAAACAGAAAAAATAAAAACACAGCCCTTGTCTGACATCCCTGCTCTACCACCGACACCCTCTGAGAAGGGGAGATGTCTTTTCTACTCTCCACTCTTCATTAGTGGATTCATCATCAATGGACAGCCTCCCTGCCTCCTGACACAAGGGGATCGCATGACTGTACCGTGTGATGGCGACTGCGGCGTCCGCTTTCCTCAGCCCTTTCACTGCAGCGAACAGGTCCAGGTGCACCCTCACCGTCAGGTTGGGCCACAGCGCGTTCTCCTGAGGGCAGTACCCCAGGAACTTGACCGAGCCATCTCCCCAAATTGAATTCCATCCTTTCAGTTCCACCTATGAAAGTAAACTGGTTTTAGAAATACATGCAGCCTTTTCTCCAATCACATAATCACTCAAGAAACTGACATGTAGCTAATAAATGTCTACATTTTTTTGAGCATCAAAGAAATATTTCTAGAAATAACTTTCTAGATTTATGATTAAAAACATTTTTTTGAGCATCAAAGAAATATTTCTAGAAATCACTTTCTGGATTTATGATTAAAAACTTTTTTAATGACTCAAAGCATAGTCATATAAAGCTACGGTCTATATTTATTGTGAGATTTTTATTCTTGGAATGGATACTGTTTCTTCATTTTTTTACTACCTCTCCAGCCGTTGGCTTTGTGACCCCAGATATCATTCTCAGAGATGAACTTTTACCAGCACCACTGGGCCCCAGCAATCCCAGTACTTCACCTGAAAGAGAATCATTGATTATTGGAAGTGAAATAATCAGAACATAAATCAGAAATAATCAGAAAATAAACATAAAACTGTTTCTCCAATAACCTTCTTTAATAACCCCTCAGTGGCATTTTGAAATTTATAACATATATGTAATTCATGTCACCAAAACACGCTCTTCAACTCCTATGATTATGTAATGTATTCATGAAAAGCTTATGAATTTGATGTCAATACCACTGTTCTTTTTTTAAAAACCTTTTTAGCGAAAAATGTGCCCAGATTGTTTCCTAGAACAGGTGGCTGATGTGCTGAGTAGATGGGTTAGTGGTTCCTAAACTTGGGAATTCAGGGACATTTTCTTCACCCCTGTGAAATTCCACCGCCTGTGTTCAAGCCATCTTTCATTGGAACTGATACAAAAGGCTCTTAATCTGTCCACAACAAATTTATGAGCAAACAATTGTGTGTAGGGTTTTTTGTTTGTTTTTGTTTTTCAAAACACAAATAATTGTGACAAACGCTGGCTGCAAACCCTCCCGTAGTATTCCAATAACTTGATGTAAGACCCGAATTCTGTGCCAGATCTCACAAAGCTTCACCTCATCTGGCCCCACCCGCCTCTTTGATTTCACCCCTTCCATCCGCAGATGCAGCCACTGGCCTCTTTGTGTGTGTCTCCACCACGCCATGGCATCCCCACGCCTGAGCCCCTGCCCTCGCTGTTTCCTCTGCCCGGGGTGCCCTTCTCTCCTCGTCCTTACACAGCTGCCACCTTCTCATCACCCAGGTTGTGGCTTAAATGTGGCTGTTCAAGGAAGGTCCTTCCAAACCCTAAGTGAAGGCCACACATATCATTCCACATATTTGCATGTTCCACACAGAACTTGTCTATGTGACCTTTGACATTTTTCTTAATAGGTTATTTTTTCGAAATATGTTCAAAACATGTTTTGAAAAACAAAGAAAGTACCGGTGCTGCCAATTCAGCAACAGAGTACAGAGAAAAAGAGGGCTTTTAAAAAACAAAATGGGGAAGAAAAAAAAAACCCAGCCCTTAGGATATATAATGCATGAGGACAGGATCTTGCCAATTTCCTTCATAATTATATTTTCAGAGCCTGAAACAGTCCCTGGAACACTGAAAAAATAGATCATGTCCCCCAAAATGTATACACACACTTTGAATAATTATGAAGGCAGTGCTTATTAAAATAAATTCCATTTAAAAATTGAGCCATCCGCTGTTACAGTGTTTATACATTTTTGGGGGATGCCTTATATATGTTAAATGAAAGAATGCTTCAGCAGGTAAAGTGGTGTCTACAACACAGATGTTCACAGGGTATTTCTAAAAATGATGGTGAATAAAAAAAAGGGGTTCTTCCAAACCTTTTTTAACACAGAAGGAGATATTTCTTGTGACTACCTTCTTCTTCTTCTTTGAAAAGCAATTTTTCTTCGGGCCGGCATATTCTTTGTGTAGACAGCTAGCAGTGATGACGGGTTGCTGGAATAGATGACCATGTGATTTTCCTCTGAACCTTCAGAGACTCTATGCTCCCATGTTCTCTCTAATGGAGCCCTTCGCGCCTTATGCCATTAACCAAATCAGATGCTGAGTTGAGGGTGGTCCTACTGCTTGTTTCAAATGCAACATGCAGCCCGACTGGCGTGGCTCAGTGGTTAAGCATCGACCTATGAACCAGGAGGTCACGGCTTGATTCCAGTCAGGGCACATGCCCAGGTTGTGGGCTCCATCCCCACTGGGGCAGATGCAGGAGGCAGCCAGTCAATGATTCTCTCTCATCACTGATGTTTCTATCTCTCCCTCCCTCTCCCTTCCTCTCTGACTGACATCAATACAAACATTAAAAAAAACAAAACACAAAACCCAAACAAATGCAACATGCACTCATTAACGTTTCGTGCTTCTGAATGGGCTGAGAAAAGCAGCATCATTTCATGGAAGCTGGCTCATTGCCTTCCCAGAACAGAAGTGTCTAACCTCATGGGAATATCATGGCATCTAGGTCAAAGAAATGAATGACGCTTAAAATTTCAATCTCTCTGTAGGATTCTAAAACAAATGTCACTCAGGTAAATTCCTCAACTCGTGAAGTTTTTGGTTCTGAAACTGATCAGAGTCCATTTTTATCAAAAGAAGAATAGAGCCACTTGCTTTGTACGTTTCTTGGAGCGTCCAGGACACCCCCAAGAAGTGGGAGTGCTGAGAACGGTTAAGAATCATGAAAATGCACCCAACGCTCAACTTTCAAAGTGAAAACCGGCACATCAACCTCTACTGTGGATAGGTTTTGGATCGTGCCATTAGCATGCCCTCCGTCCCGGGGCTTTCTACCTCCTCTATGCTGGAAGTGAGTGTCAGGGCCGTTGCTGTTCTCGTTCTTTCTGCCTGAACATCTTCGTCTTCATCGACAGGTTCCTCTGGATTTGGCCGGGCCTCTCTTGTTTGGGGGGAAATTCTGTGGACAAAGGGAAATGTATATGCCCTGTGATTTTTCCATTTGTCCAAGATGGATCGTGAATCAGCCCCCGGTGATATGACCACTGCCCCTTTCTTTCAATAAACTGGTGATGACCATGGCCCTGTGCATCCTGCCTCTGCTTTTGCCAAAAATCCCCATCCTGGTAACCAGAAACCCTTTGTCCGTGTGGCTCCCATTCTTTCAGTTAGCATCGTTGACCCTTTCTAATTTGTTGACAAGGACCCGTGCCTCTTTAAAAATCATATCATCTACATTTTCTCTGTTTACTCTGAGCCCATCTAATCAGCCCAACATATGCCTTAGCATCTCTTATTGTTCACCCTTTCTGGAGTTCCCTCCCTACCCTCAAACCACTCCTCCGCCCCCGCCGCCACACACACACATTTGTAAAGCACGTGGAACTATGTTGCTCAATCAGTTCCATCCCATCTCCTCTGTTCAAGGATGTGTACCCATCTTGGACAGCAGAATGGCATATTTGAGGACTCATTAAATTTTGGAGGGACTGGAAGCGCCCTCAGCTGGTTAGTGCCAGAACTCTGCCTGGGAGCCCGGTTTCCTGGCAGTAAGCCAGCAATCTGCTGATCCTGGTGAAAATCAGCATGCTGTCTACATTGCAAAGATAAACCTGTAGCAACAGGACAACAAACAGTGCAGCCACTATTTAGGAATATTAAAATACGACATCAAGCATGAAAGGAAGCTTTCCTCCACCTGAAAACAGGATCCTTTTGCATTACTGTCTGCCCATACTTCATTTCCATGCATCTTAGAGCAAAAGCGAACAGCAAAGCCTGAACGTAAGGCTAGGAGCAAAAACAAACAAACAAAAACAGTTATATTTAGGTATTTTGTTCACAAATATGGTTTAAACATTTGAATTAAGTGAGTGACCTTTGGTCTTCAGGTAAAAGAGATGTGAATCATCTTACACGCTGGGAAGAAATCCAGCTACACAATGACAAACCAGCGTAGTGGAACCTGACTCTTCTTCTCACAACCCACACCCAGTCTGACAGCAAATGCTACCTGTTTTACCTTCAAAATTATCCAGAACCCAACTAACTACTTCTCACCCATGTCTGTGCTACCCCCACCCAGGGCCAGGTCCTTATCATTTCTCCTTCTCCTTTCTCCTTCCCCTTCCCCTTCTTCTTATTTTTTAAAAGGAACCCTGGAGGTGTGGCTCAGTTGGATGTAGTGTCAGTCATCCCATACACCAGAAGGTGGCGGGTTTGATTCCAGGTCAGGGCATATACCCAGGTTTTGGCTTCCATCCTTGGTCAGGGCATGTGCCAGAGGCATCGACTGCTGTGTCTCTCTCACATGGATGTTTCTCTCTCTCTCTCAAATCAATTAAAAAAAATATTACAATACCTTTCTACCTGGTCTCCCTCCTCTCCCCTTGCTCCAAACATCTATTCTCAACACAGCCACTAGAGCTACTCTTTTGAAACATGTCCTTTGCTTAAAACCTTCCAGTGACTCCTCAGTTACTCAAACAAAGTCAAAGTCCTTATGGTGACCGAGAACACTGTGTAACCTCTTCAATCCACCTGCACGTGTCGCTATGGCTTCTGTGACCTTCTCTCATACCACTCTCCTCTCAGGACACTCTGCCCCAACCACATTGGCCTCCTGCCTGAACCTCAAACAAGCCAGGTGACCCTTGCCCCTCTACTGGAATGCTCTTCCCCGAGTTATCTCTACAGCTTGCTCCCTGCTTTCCTCAGATGATTATCTGTCAGCCAGGCCTTTCCTGACCACCTATCTGACATGGTATATATTATCTATTTTGTTTATTACCTGTCTCCTTTCACCAACAAATAAACTCCATCAGGGCAGGGACTTACGTCTACATTTGCTTCTATGCCTAGAAAACTACTGGTGCATTATATTCAAAGACAGTGCCTTTCTTCGGTCTAAATACATCAACATAATCATTATTTCCCTTTCTTTTTTATTAAACTTTTGCTTTTTTATCTCTAATTCAAAGGACTTCAGTTATATTCCATCTGTATTTTTAACAAGCTCTCTCAAATTTGGAGGGGGCAGTATACAGGATAAATAAACATGAAAAATTAATTTTGTATTAAATTCGGGATGTATACTATCCATTCATGCATATAAAAATAACTCTAGGGCTTAGAATCATGTTGGAATGTAATTACTTATTCTGAGACTATAATTGAAAACATCTTTGAAGTTGGCACACTTTAGGCAAGATTAAGTAGTTGTTATAGTAAACAATAACTATAAAAAAATAAGTGTTGAGTTGGAAAAACCTTCTTACTATTAGGCATATTAGAAAATCAGTTCCACTCAGGTCATAAAATAGGTCTTCATTTTGTCTTTGGTGCTCGTAGATTCTCTGTAAAACAAAAACAAACACACCCACACAAAATGCTAAATGAAAATTCATCAGCTTTACAGTTTCCATTTAAGTAATAAGGAATTTCACATATTGAATGTTTTTCTTAAGCTTGAGTTCCCTATATGCATGGACTGTGTTATCTTGTCCATCAGATGTCCCCAATGACTAGCACAGTGCCTGACACAGAATAGTGTTTAATATACATTTTGAATGAATGAGTGATATCACCCATGAGTGTATTCCTCACAATGGATAATGAATACCCATTGAATGAGGCAACGTTTTTCAATCTGGAGTTTGTTTTGAATAAGTGTATGTTTTGCAAAGTGCGTATGGCAAAGCTTTTTTAACAGCTTTATTGAGGTTACATTTTCATGCCCTAAAATCCGTCCACTTTAAGTGTGCAATTTAAGGATTTTTAGTAAATGTACTTAGTTGTGAGAGCAATGCCACAATTTAAGAACATTTCCATCATATACATTTGCTGTCACTCCCCATTGCCACAACCTACCCTCTAGCCTCAGAAAACTGGTAGTCTACTTTCATCTTTATAGATTTGGGCAAAGCATTTTAATAGGTGGCATATTCAAAATTAGTGACACAGTCGATAATATAACTTACATCTATCATAAAAAGAAGAAATCCATTCAAGGCGAATGAGGGAACAAACACCATGCTCCAAAGCGAGGCAGATAACAGGGAGTCACTTATTATAACCAAGTCTAACAAGCTGGATGAGGTCTACAAGGCAAGTTGAAATATATTACATGTCAGACATACTCAGTCCACTGATATTTGAGAAAACATTTAAGATGTAGATATTCTTATCCTACATATCAGAATTTTCCTATATGCAGACACAACCCTTTCAGAAGGAAGAGGGAAAGGATATGCTTTTATTAATGAGAATATATATATGACCTTATGAAAAATCCATATTGCCTCTCACTTAGACTGAAATTTTCAAATTGTCATATACCTTCTCCATTAATTCACCATTCCAAGTAAATGATGATTTGGAGATTGTGCATTCTGATTGCAAAATACTCATTTTTCTTTTAGATTACTGGTAAATGTTGGGGTGGAGATTAAAAATAATATTTTGTTTTTGTTTTAAGGATCAGTTTATCAGCCAATAAGTATGTTTTAAACACTTTATTAAACCTTTGCTGGGTCTTATTAATGTATTCATTATAATAAAACTGGTGAGAATCATAACTGCTCAATTCATTGTATATTACACAAATGACCAGGCCTTAAGAACTAAGCATATACTATTTGCTTTAATCCTCACAATGACTCTACCATGTATTCTTCTTATCCTTCCCCTTTTATATATGGGAAATCTAGGGTCCAGAGACATTAGATAACATCCTTAAGATGACACATTTAGTGAGGGATGAAGCTGGAATTCAAAACTCTGGGTGGGTGTAATGATTGCTAAGTCTTTATGTCAGAAAATTTTACTGACATAGGTTGCATATTCAAAATTATAACAAGACATTGTTATATAAAAGGGAATGTTATCTTTGCTACTAAGTAAATTTAAAGTTTTGGGGAAATGTGTAATCTACCTTATCAAAAACAATTGGGGAAAAAACCCAAAAACTTAAAATCAAGTATTCAGTAAGAAGGGCACAATAAGCATTTTGGATAGCCAACCCAAAAGACTTCTCTCATTTTATAACAGCCGTGATCTCCTTGCAAAGGTATTGCACAACTGTCCATGTTTACAGATTTCTTTTAGTTTCCATGACATCACACTTCTCTATTTTTTCTCCTAGCTCCTTATTTTTGATAACTATGAGTTCTTTAGTCCACTTAGCTGACTCTGCTTATTCTATGAGGACTCGAAGTTTCTGCTTTTGTGACCTGTTCTTTCCTTCCTTTCTCACCCACTGGAACAAGAGAAGATGCCAAAATGCATCAAAGGAAATGGCCCAGTGTGCTAAGATGTGCGACTCCACCTCCACCATTGGGCTGAAATATGGGTGACAGGGTGCTTCCTCCTCCTTCGACAAGGGCCTAAGGCACCCATGCAGTGCCACACCCTTGGGGGTACAGGAGTGCATTGGATTCTAGAAACTAACTGTTGACTGTGGCTTCACTCAGTGATGGGGAGACATTGCCTATACCGTCCTTCCAAGTAAATCCAAGGTCACTAAAGGACAACTGTACTGCCCATCAGCATTCCTGTAATAAAAAATTATCTCAGTCCTAAGACTGGCATGGTTTAAACTTATATTCACTGTGTGATGAAAGATCAATTATCACAGTAATTAGCCTCAATACCGATTTTGAATGATATTCTAAGTTCTTTGTAGCAGCCATAAAGTTACTGTAAACTGCATGAGGTTTCTGTGAAGATGTGTTTTAGCTTACTAAAATCAAGATGTTGATCAACACAAACTTGACATCAGTATTGTCCACCATGTTACTAGCTCATATTTTTTTGACTTGAAGAATGACGTAAGGTCTGAGATCTCAGGTTTCTTCATGAGTCTATCACTATTTTTTGTGTGACCTTAAACAAGTTGCTTAATTATTTTCATTCTAAAAATATAAGGGGAATTAAATTAGATAGTCTTGAATTTTTTCAAACCTGACATCTCAATATTCCATGTAGCTTTTAACATGTAGCTTCTTTTAAACGGTATAAAAATAAAATAGATAAGTGCACTAAAATAGATAAATATGAAAAAGAAGAAAAAATCAGAAATGATGTAATTTTTTTACATTTTGAACAAAAATCCTTGTTTTAAAAAGTTGACTTTGTCTCTGCAATACTGCCTTATTTTAATACATAATAATTCAAAATTAGCAAAGGAAAAAATGGTATTCAATCATATATAGATATAATTCTATTTGAAAAATAGTGTTTCAGAGTCTCGTGTTCAACTCTTTGCTGTGGTCCTTTATTTGCTATAGTCTGTCCCCATCACAGTGAGAACATCTTAATCCACAAACATTTGTCTACAAACCTAACGGAAAAGGTGTTCTGCATTATCATGACTTTCCCTAGAAACAACGTCAGATTTCTTCATTTGCACATTTAGGCACTTGCAGCTGGGGAATTATGCAAGAGGAACTCATTACATGAGAATGCAGAACCTATTTTGCCTTCTACCAGGTATTGAAAGTACTTTGCCTCGTTAGACTTTGCCCCCGATTATATATATCAAATATTAGGCAAAATGGTCTCTACTCTATACGCCAAGAAATGAAAGCTATTGTTCTGGAAGATGACGGTGTTTCAAGTTCTGAAAGAATGCCTTTTCTAAGAAAATTCCATCCACATTTTTGTCCAACCCAAAACGTCACTATGGGGCCTGCATCTGTGAGAAGAGGTCCCATTGAAGGCTGAAGGATAAGGGGTGGAGGTATGGTTCGCCTGTTGATGCAAGTGCTCCTCTACCTGAGATATTGTCAAATCTATACAAACCAGGATGAATTGTGAGTATAAGGTAAACCAGGGGCTGATTTTTCACTTGACACAAAGCAAAAAATACATTCATATAGACTTGTATTAGTCCCAGTCTGGAATGGCTTCTATTTAAGGAGAACCAACACAAGAATGGGGAAGACAAAGAAAAAGGAACAATGACTGGAGGTTGCCAATTGCTTAGGACTGAAGGACAATAAGTGTAGAGTGTCTATGCGGGAACTCACTAGGAGATTTTGAGCCTCAGTTAGGCTGGCAGTAACAAACATGTCAACAGTCATATTGGCCAATAACCCTGACATTGCTGGGACATCAGCTCTGAAAAAGACTTTCATTCAGAGTTGAAATGACTAGAAAACACAAAGTATGGACACAGATTCTTCATTAACCTTTGCTGGACATATACAAGAGTGCTGACGGAAAAGAAATCAACTATTAGACTCTCTTCTGCTAACATCTGTGCTGCCTACACAACACCTGGGTTTACATTGGACAAAGGCAGTGAATCTGTTGACTGAACAAAACGCCCCCATGCAAAGTATGAAAGCAAAGACGTTTGGTGCATCAGATCCTCATGACTGCCTCAAAGCCAGTCTTCTGAGTGAGGTATCTCTATACATCTTTCTGTAACTTCTGAGCTTGTATTGATTTGTCCTGATGGTGGTAAGAGGGGTAGTAACAGATATTATCTACTGCATACAGAGAAATACAATTAGAGAAGCCAAATCAGAAAACGGTCCTCTGAGAAGGGATAAGTCAACAGCTACCTACTGACCAGATAGCCCAAGGCTAATTTCGCACAGAAGCCAGTGGGCAATGTGAGATGTATTTTCTTAGCAGATCGCCTCTGGTTGGGTTCAGGACTTCAACTTCAAGATTTGGGGGTGAGTATATCAGCTAAACCTAAACCTAAAGAGCTGGGATTAGACACACTGGGTGTTCAGCATCTTGGTAAACATTTCCATCCAAGTTTTCCATCCAAGTTTGGAATCATTCATTCCTATTTACTAATAAATGCTCTGCTGTAGGTATAAAAACATCTTTGATCTCTGAAATTTCTAGCATCTGAGGTTAAAAGACAACTTCTTAAACACTGTAGAAATGAATTGGACTGTCAAATTTTATCAAGCCAATTTTTGTTCTAGTATTGCCAGGAAGCCCTGTATTTTGAAGGATTTATAAACTCAATAGTGGCATCTGCGCTTCAGGTTTTCTGTAAGTTACTCTGTAAACTCTAGTCAAAGAGCTGTAGATGAATTCTTCAGAAATACTGTTGAATCAGCAACATGTTACATTCTCTCTCCTTTCTGTGGTATAATTTTAAGGTGTTCATTTCCCATTGCTCAGGGCAAAAGTGACTATGTTCCCTGTTACATTCAAAGTTGAAAAAGGAACTTTATCTCTCTATTGATATGTTTGTACGTATACTTACAATAAAGAAACAAAATGACCAAACGCCACTATTTTTTCTTCTCTTGCGAAAAATGAATGATATCACATATGTGAAAAAGATGACAGAAGCTGCATAACCAAATATAATCACAACCTAAAAGGTAATATAAATAATATCAAAGTCAAAAAATAAAATATGAATTGAGGGAACATTTAAATTATAAGTATTTTAAAATATTTTATTGAACATACACTTCAAATGCTTTTTGTTTCCATTAGGGGCAAAATAAAAATGGAAATGTCTTGATTACATAAAATAGCAAATGTTAAAATGTATCATGAATTTACCTTATAAGACAATCTCTATGTAATGCATCACTCACCGAAGCAAACACAAGTCGAGTTGTGAAAAAACGGTCTGCTACGTTTGTCAAGCAGAAAATTAAAAACGATGAAGAAAGAAAGCAAGCAAAGAGGCTAATATCCACCAGGGCCTGCCCACACCAGTAGGCCGAAGGGCAGAGGCCTGAAGTCCATAGCTGGGACTTAATTCTCTTCTGATGGAAAAACACAGGACATACATAGATACAATTAAAGTCCAAATCCAGAACAAATGCATTGGAAGATATGTCAAATACAATCTAACCAAATACTGTCAAATCTTCTGATAATTTTAATTATGCAATACTGTTCAATGGAATTTAGTGAATTCCATTAAAGTGACCATTTTTGACAGTGAATACTAGTATTATTTCATTATGTAGGTTTGATTCACAACACCCCCTTAACTTATGCATAATAAATAGAAAAGCAGACTTCATCATGATCCAGGAATGAATTTCCTTCAAAAGAAATATCATTTTTGTGACCTGCAGGCCAATAAATTCTCCATTATTCAAATAGACTGGCTCAGAAGGGTGAAGAATGACTCACCTAAATTTCATTGAACTATTGGACTTAAATAATGGACATAACCAAATACAAATATAACAAAAAAAATTGTATTCCCCACAGTAGAAAAGGGGCTCAAGTCTTAAATCTGATCTTTAATGTCAATATCAATGACTTCTATAGTCAAAAGTTTTATAATATACCCCTTTGTAGGATTAGATTAACTTGAATCCCTGTAAAATGACTGTACTTTTCCTTTAATTTTAAAATAAAAAGTATTTTGTGCTTTTAGAAGTAAATTTCTGACTTGATAGAAATAATGCTTAACTACATTATCTAAAATTAAACATATGCTTAAATGTTTTCTTCACAGGACTACATTGTGAACACACAGCATTTAAAAAAAAATTATTAAAGTTCCTGAAGTCTCTTTTCTTTTCCCCCCTTTTTCTTACTTTGTAATCGCTGACACTGCTCATGGCGATGTAAGGAGAAATGCTGCAAACAACGGAAAATAGGAAAAAGGAGCCTTCTGGCAGACCAGTCCAGATAAAGAACACATTCTGCAAACATAAAAGGCACTTTAAGCTAGTAAATATTTAAAAACATGAAACAAATACTAATAACCATAAAGAATACGCTGTTCAAAATATTTTGAAAAAACAAATTAAAAGTGTACATCTAGATCAGTGATGGCGAACCTCTGACACGTGAACTCATTTTTTTGGTTGATTTTTCTTTGTTAAATTGCATTTAAATATATAAAATAAATATCAAAAATATAAGTCTTTGTTTTACTATGGTTGCAAATATCAAAAAATTTCTATATGTGACACGGCACCAGAGTTAAGTTAGGGTTTTTCAAAATGCTGACACGCCGAGCTCAAAAGGTTCGCCATCACTGATCTAGATCATCAACATCTATGCATGGTGGCAGGGAGATGATTTTTGATAATTTAACATGAGGTTTTAATTCCTAAAAAAAAAAAGGCGGGGGGAATAAAAAATAACTCAGGGCCCACCCACATCAGAGTATATATGAAAATGAATCAAAAGCAGGATCTCAGAGATATATCTGCTCACACATTCCATAGGAGCACTATGCAGAATACCCAAGAAGCAGCCCAAATGTCCATGGACAGACAAACGGGTAAACCAAATGTAGTACATACACACAATGGAATCTTATTCAGTTTTAAAAAGGAAAAAAATCCTGGCACATGCTAGGATGAACTTTGGAAGTTATCCTGGCACATGGATGAACTTTGAGGAAATTATCCTGGACGAAAGCCAGTTACAAAAAGACAAACACTATACAACTGTCCTTATATTATGTCTCAAAAGTAGTCAAATTTTGTAAAAACAGAAAGTAAAAAGGTCATTGCCAGGGTCCGGGGAAGGGAGGAATGAAGAGTTCTTATTAAATGGGCATAGCACTTTAGTTCTACAAGATGACAAAGTTCTGGAGACCTGTTTCCCACAATGTGAATATACTTAACACTATTGAACTATACACTTAAAAATAGTTAAGGTGGTAAATTTCATGTTACGTTTGGTGTTTTTGTTTTTTTTAACAAAATAATAAAAAAAAAAGATTCAAGAATTAGGGTCCTAGAGAAACAGGTGGTTCAGGCCTGAGCAGCAGCAGGTCTTCCTCAGTAAACCCAGCGATGGATCCGTGCAAACTACTGCAGCTGGCGATATGTTGTAAAGCACAGCCCCGAAAGGACAACTCGATACCACCGAGCCCATCTTCAAGGAGATACACTTTAAATCCCCATGGCCCAGCCGGCGTGGCTCAGTGGTTGAGCGTCAACCTATGAACCAGGAGGTCGCGGCGGTTCGATTCCCGGTCAGGGCACATGCCCAGATTGCAGGCTCGATCCCCAGTGTGGGGTGACCAGGAGATAATCGATGCATGATTCTCTCTCATCATTGATGTTTCTCTCTCTCTCTCCCTCTCCCTTCCTCTCTGAAATCAATAAAAATATATATTTAAAGAAAAACAGAGCAAAATTAATCATGCCATGATTACACGGGTGGAACGAGCAGAAAAGCCAAGGATGATGACGTGAGAAGCCACTGTCACACCTGGGGGGAGGGATAAAGGGAGGGAGGGATGTGACTGAAGGCCAAGGGTAAGGACCCTTCTGCTGACCCGGCCTAAAGCACTGCTGCCAGCTGGCAGGCCACAGTATAGGCAGCGGACTAAGAGTCATGAGAACACAGTCTGTGTGTACCAGACCCCCTCACTCCCATGCAGAACCACTGTGGGTGGGTGACGGAATTCATGAGAATGCATCTAGCCCAAGAACTGGCAAATTTTCCTTCAAAGCAGTCAACGACTACCCATTTAGTCAATGAAGAGTTCACCAACAAATTATATTAGAAATATAAGATTCTAAAACAAGTGCTCCTGATTTCTAAGTCAGTGTGTGTGCGCACACACACACGTCTCATTCTTCTCCAATATACTCATGCAATCAACTACAAATCTTTTTAGAAGACTTTCTGGGAGACTGTGACATACTATTGAACAGTATTCCACCATGAGAATTCTTCGAGCATAATGAAAGGGGAAAATCATATTCTGTTAGATACAATCTGTTTAAAATATAAGGCCAAAGTTAACTTTTTAGGGTTAAGAATCAATTATAAATATGTAAAAGCTATAGAAGGAACTCACACAAGGGACTTGTCAAACTGCTAATTGTTCGGAATGAGTAAACCCAATACTTACTAGAGGAAATGCGCCTCTTAGAGTTTGAATCTGTTGTGTATGGTTAAACATTCCAAGCAGCGCATTGCTGATGATATTCATAAGAACAGGAAAACATTGCAACCTCTTGGTATTGCATACAACTGAGAATCTATAATCCTTCAAATAAAATAAAACAAGGTTAATGCTGAATAATTAATGAACAATAAAAAAGGTTTTGTATAGAAAATCCTAACAGTGCCATTTTCTAGCTGTGTGACTATCTTCACATTAACTGACTTCTCTGAGCGACAGCATCCTCATCTGTGAAAGGGTAAATACAATAAATGGGCTGTCATACGGTTTAAATGGGACAATGTATATTATATTAGGCCCTCGCACAGTCAGCAATATGAATTTGTAGCAGTGTTACTAATTTTAGAACATTTTGTCCTCATTTTGTGGATAAGGACATTTCAGCTGATGGGATTTAAATGTGGCCCCGATGAGGAAACACAGCCCGTTGGCAGTGAGCAAACGAAGGAACTCTATTTTTGTGGACAGGAAATAAGCATGAAGTTCAAGTACTCATGGCTACACAGCCAGTGGAGCATTTTCACACTTCCTAGGACAATGTTTATGTTCTCCAGGTTGATGAAAATGTTCGCACATTCATCAATGTTCTTTAAATATTACCAAGGATTCATGTAATAAATATGTTGGATGAGTAACAAATAAAGCAACTACCAGGCAATGCAGCGTCCCACACTGAGACGACATTTTGCATGGTGGACTTAGGTAGAACTGAATTCAATGCTATCTCTTCAAAGGTCTTTGTTTTCTCTCCTTGTGGCAAGAAATAAAGAGGGAGCTTCACATAATTTGGCTCCGTTTTTCATTGGAATGCAAGGAAGACTGAGTTTCCTTATGATTAGAATGCATGTTCAGTAGGATCATGGAAGGATCTCTATGGTAGAATTTAATGTATTTTCTAGCCAGAACTTTTAAGTTTGAATAGTGCAATTATATTCAGCTACTTTGAAGTGTTAAAAAAATCATCTAATGCAAAAGTTAAGATAGAAAATGTTTTATGAACACTCCTTTAAACTTCACAGATTATTTAATAATGACCCAAACGTTTTTGAGTCCAGTTGCTGGGTTGACGTCCCACAGTGTTAAGACAGTTAAAAATGTAGCACTTTATTGTTTTTCATGAAAGCATAACCAAGAAGCAAGAGGCAAACACACCTTTTGTTTCCCAGCAACTATGATAGCTCCGTTGTAGGACAGATCATCAGGGCTATTTCTATTTACAAAGTCATCGATTTCCAACAGTATATTTTGATGCTTCAGTGACTGTATAAAATCTTCAATGTTGGATTCTAGTATTACATCAACAACAGAAGGCCATATAAAGCAAGAACATATATGTCAATTTAAAAAAATAAGCCACATACACAATTTATATTATGCATAAAGGCATGTCTCTTTGGGCATCACAATAATAATACTGGCCTATAAAAGAGGGCCCATTCTACCATCTTATATTCATCAAATCTTACTTTGTGATGAGTTAGCTTTATGATCTTATTTCATGCAAGTTAACGTGTGACCATTAAGACAATGTAATTCTATTTTATGACTCTTGGTTAAAAAAATACAATTTAACTCAACAATCTGTGGAACTGCAATAATTGTATGAGGAGTACTTCAAATTGGCTAGCCTAAAATTCCTAACAATAGCACTCCCCTTGCTCCCTTATTCTCCAAATAACAGAAAAGTAAATGCATTTAGCTGAATGTATGAATGTATTTTAAAACATAAATGTATTTTGCGTATTTACATATGTATTACATGCATATATATTACATAGATATATTTTTTGTTAGGAAGTGGGAAATGAAAAGAGTGCCACTATCAGGATACAGTTGTCAATAGGCTACTAACGAAGAAAACAGATAAGAGCTGAGAAAAACCCACAGCCTAGCGCACACAGGAGCCAACAACTGTAAAGGCTGCTGTAACAAAGAGGTCTCAAAAATGAGTGGCTCAATCAATACAGAAGTTTCTCCTTCACATAATAGCTCAGGGTCATCAGACAGATACGCCGGTCTTCTCTACCAGGTTATGTAGTGACCCAGGATGCTTCTTCCTTGTCCCCCCTTTCCGCAGCACCTCGAAACTCAGAACAAATGTACACAGTTCCTCAAATTTTCTTTCTTTATTTTAATATGTTTTTATTGATTTCAGAGAGGATGGGAGAGGGAAAGAGAGAGAGAGAGAGAGAGAGAAACATCAATGATGAGAGAGAATCATTGATCGGCTGCCTCCTGCACACCCCCTACTGGGGATTGAGCCCGAAACTGAGGCATGTACCCTGATTGGGAATCGAATCAGCTACTTCCTGGTTCATTGGCTGACACTCAACCACTGAGGCACTCAGCTGGGCTAGAAATTGTTTTCTATTCATAAAGTCTATATACACAAATTCTTCTCTTACGATTTGCTTTTCCTCCCTCTACATAAAAATAAATTATTTCTAGATTTAAATTGTGTTTTTCTGTTCACCTGTGTTATTGATGATCAATAAGCTGGTCAGAGGGTCTTGAGGAAGTTGCCCAGGAGAGAGGAAATACAATCCAGGTTTAAATTCCCAATCACTCTTTTGACTTAATACAGCATGAAATATCAGTTCCACAACCAATGGGATCAGTGCAATTCCAAATACCAACAGCCTACCAATAAAGAAAAGTCACCATATAAATCTGTAGCAATTTCATTTATTCCATCAGACATTTCACAAATATTTGTAGAATATCAACTTTTATGCTAGCCATAAGGATGAGTGCTAAAATTCTGTAAGTCATACCTTACATTGCCCCCCAGTACAAAAGGCGTTTCTATATAAACACCGGGTGTTCAAACTATGAAGACTAAACAGATCTGTGTATAAGGCTAATCAAATGCTCACATACGGCTATTCCCACCGGCAGTAAACTCAAAGGCTGCATTTATCTATCCTCTGGCAGGACTGGTGGGCATTTCATTCTAGCTTTAAATTTTATTCTGATTTAACCCTTTCTTGAAACTCACTATCCAAGAAAACCACAACACGCTGATACTCACAGGGTCCAAAGCGTTCTCTTTCCACATTTTAACTTTAAGAAACGGAGCCGTGCCACTGCACAGATCTGCATTCTCCAGAGTTCCAAGTCACTCACAGGGAAAGGAGGGCGAGCCGGCTGCATCTGAGGCAGGCTTTCTGTGTCTCTCATCTCTGCTTGTTCAAAACAAACACACAGGCATGCATGCTCGTACACACACACACGCACACACACACACACACACACATGCACACACACGTACTAATTATTAATGACATGCTTGGGTCATCACAGTTTTCTCTCTCTTTTTTTTTTAATATATATTTTATTGATTTTTTACAGAGAGGAAGGGAGAGAGATAGAGAGCTAGAAACATCGATGAGAGAGAAACATCGATCAGCTGCCTCCTGCACATCTCCCACTGGGGATGTGCCCGCAACCCAGGTACATGCCCTTGACCGGAATCGAACCTGGGACCCCTCAGACCGCAGGCCGATGCTCCATCCACTGAGCCAAACCGGTTTCGACAAGTTTTCTCTTTTTAGAGAGAAAATTTTCTAGGATATTTGTGGTTATAAAACAAACAATATAAGCACCAGGTTATGTTTATCCTGGCGACATTTAATAAACCCACTGATAAAATACTCTGAATGCATATCAAAAGAAGACTTCAGTCAGGGGTGATCTCATCATACAGTCTTTAAAAAGGCACAGAAAATCCTATATGTAACACTATTGTAAGACATTTCAAGAAATCTTCTCCAGAGAAGTAGCCAAGGTACATTGATGCCTAAATGTCTACTATTATGCTATCAATCATTTAGAAGTCCAAGTGAAAAACCACTAACCCTGAAACCACAAGACTGGCACCTGATTTCCAAATATATTAATTTCAAGTGGTATAATTTGGGGCAAATCACTGACCTGCTCTTAGGTCTGATTTTCTCAGGTGTAAAATGGTGCCAACGCCACTTGTTTGAATGGTTCTTGTAAGGAAAGCAATGCCATTCAGCCACACATTGATCAAAGTGTCTGGCATAAACCCTCCATAAATGACAGCCCTTACTATGATCACCCATTAAAGGACACAAGAGCTGATCCTAGGCCTTTCTTCCATTGAGACCTTAGTGGAATTTTGTCTATGAACAACTAAGAGCAATTTTTATAGGATATATCTGCTTAGAGTTCATGACCTCGACTGAGGGCCTTTCACATCCTCAAACTATCCAAGAAGTGAGTAACAGAGGATAAAGAAAACTGCCCCAAAAAGAGACAAATACTAGTAGTTTCTAAAGAAAAATTTGGTGTATTCCAAGAGGAGTCTGTGTTCAGTCCTAGTAAGATGTTAGGAAACAAGGCCTGCTCTTCCCAAGCAGCAGAGTCAGATTTGGAACTAGTCCCTTTCTTTAGCGTTAATCAGGTATAAGCATTATAAATACTAAATTGCTATATAATCATTAGGAAATTGATTTTATATGAATTATACAAATGAATGTACCTTGATCGACAGTTGATATTTCTTCCACTTTCTTGAAGACTTCATTCAGGGTTGACACAGCAATGTCATAACTCATCACACCCTGGACAGAACCCTTATCAAGATCACTGAAAAGGTCTAAGGCAACAGATAGGAGTAGATACATTTGAAATAGCATGTGGATAACTAAATCTAGTGAATTAACATATTTAAAAGATGATGCAGAATACTGCTCATAAAGTTTACATCTTTGCAATATCCCAATAAGGAAAACCAAAATTTCACTGGAATGCTCTTCCCGTCTGAAATGAATATGTCAGACTTCTCCTTTTATCCTCACACTGTCTGCACTCTATCTTCTGTTCTCAGCCCATGAACTTCCTGCAGATATTTTTTAGGAAATATCTCCTCTACACCACAAATCAACGTGTAATTCTACCCATATTCTGGGTCTTTCTTCTGTACAGGTAGAAGACTTGTAGCTGCTCCCACCAAATGCTACCTTTCGACTTGTGCTCTTTGGACATCTCAAGGACTTCTCAAAATAAATCTGCTTTCTCTCTCTCTCTTTCTCTCCCTCCTTCTCTCCTTCCCTTCCTCCCTCCTCCTTTCTTTCTCCTCTCTTCCCTACTGGTTCTTCTAAGCATCCGTTACCAAATAAATTGCACTAAAATCCTCATCTCAAATGATGCCTCTTAGGAAACCCAACCTAAAATGAAATCCAAGTCCATTAAACAATAAAGTTGTAATAATAATGTAAGTCCTTATTCCCAAATTTCATTCTATTGAAATCATATTTAAGTTACCTGGAAATTTATCTGTCCTTTCCACAGGCAAAGTATACACAAGCTTGTCTTTGCTTTCTGTCTTTAATTTAGCATCCGGGACATGATGATTAATGAAAGTTGTTATTCTTTCTGGGTCACATATTTCATTTCTGTACAAACTAGTGTTTGAAAGAAAAGACAATTCATTTGTGTTTCCTCCAGTGCTATCACAAAACAAGAGCTTCCTACTGAATAGCTAACCTTTGAGTACTTTACTTGGCTTTTAGGGAACAAACAAAATGAGTAAATAATAATAATAATAATAATAATAATAATAATAATGCCATTGATTAGAAAAATCTTCTGATCTGTACAGAGGTGTCTAATCTCAGAGCTAAATTTTACAAACAAATGCATGATGGATTTGAAAGCTGATGTATATCAAGTAGGAAGACAAACAGAGGGAGGTGAGGGCATTAGACAGAAGAGACTTCTTAGGAAAAATCATTATTAGACCAAACCGTGTAGCTACCAGAAATTAGTGCCTAACAGAAAAACCTGGCCAACAAGCCACAGTTTGTGTTTTCAATGCTTTCTGCCTGGAAACACTTTCTCGGTAGACATAGTCCTCTTTACTCACTGCCACCAGACTGACTCTCATTTTTGATACCAGCTTCTGATATTATTTGATTTTGTGTCCTATGAAAGAAGGAAACGATGTCACAGGATTGTATGGATCAGCTGGGGAAACTGGAAGGTGGAAAGTGGTCCATGAAGCAGCCCTGCTATGATCTATCAGCCTGGGCAGATAATTTTGCAATTTTGATTATCATAATGGATGCAGGGGAAATATTTGGGAAACAATGATCAATACAGGTTGGCAGAGCTAAACTAAGCACAAGGCCAAATCTCTCTCATAATTGTCTACCTTTCTGATATACCAATATTAAAATATCTGTGTGTGTGTGTGTGTGTGTGTGTGTACACGTAATTTATCTGCAAATTCTTTACCTTAAGTGATATCCAAGACCCCATTTTCTCTTCAGAAAGCCAGAAGAGCCTGCACACTTCAATCTCCCATTGGACATGATCACTTTTCTATCTGAGTAAAAAGAAGCAAGAGAAAAAGGATGATAGGAGTCATTTCTTCTCTCCCCAGAAAACACAGATGAGGAGCCAATGCCCAGATTTCCAAAAGAGAAGTGTCCTATGGGGCATTGCTATATCAACTATCCATTTAAAATGTTGAAATACCCCTTAAAATGGATGCATTTTAAATGAGCTTATGAGTTCCAGTTCATTTTAGTATTCTCCAAAATGTAAAAAAGAAAAAACGGAAATTACATGCGTGCGTTTTCTTTTCTTTTTAATCCTCCCTGGAGGATATTTTTCCCCTGATTTTTAGAGAGAGTGGAAGAGAGAGGGAAAGTCAGAGAGAAATATCGATGTGAGAGAAACACATTGATTGGATGCCTCCTGCAGGAGCCCCAATCAGGGCCCGGACTGGGGAGGAGTCTGCAACTAAGGTACATGCCCTTGACCAGAATCGAACTGGGACCGTTTGGTCTGCAGGCCGACACTCTATCCACTGAGCCAAACAGGCTAGGGCTACATGGGTAATTTTCTATGGGATGCTAAAGAAATCAGTGGATATTTTCAGCCAAATATATATATTACAGAATATTTAGATTTTCAAATTAATTGAAAGCTGATCTGGGAAAAAAATCACAATTTTTTATTAGAGGTCAAAATCTAGCAATCATATAGTCAGCGAGGAATTCTACAGTGGGAGTAGGCTCCTATCATCCCCCAGATTGGTAAGTAACATAGGCATACCAAGGCAATGAGAGCAGGGCTCTGGGAATAAGTATTGCCCAAATTGTTTATTGTGATACTGAGATCAAATCGACACTCACCAGCCAGGATGTCAGCCTCATCCATGAAACTGGTGCTCAAGAGGATCACGTGGTCTGCTTTGCGCTCCTTGAGGAAGCTCCACACTTGCTGCCTTGAAAAGGGATCCAATCCAGCAGTTGGTTCATCCAACAGCAAAACCTACCGAAGAAGATGACATATAAAATATGTCTCTCTCTCATGTTACCGATTTCCTGATGATAGCATGAGTAACCAAAACAAACAGACAAACAAAAACCTATCCAGCCGTTTATGTCCAATAGACTCATATTCACAGTTAAACACAGCACATTCTCTCCTGGTACATTACAATGAAAGCACTGCTACTTTCAGAGGTAAAAGAAGAGCTTGGCTTTTCATTGATATTCCATCTGCATTCCTCCCCATGCATAGTGGCTCTTACTTTTGGATCTCCTAAAATGGCAATTCCAAAGGTCAGCTTTCTTTTCTGTGCTTCACTTAAATGTTGAGCAGGGTTATCCTGAATGTTTTGTATGTCCAACTCCAATAGAATTCTTTGTACCTATAGAAAAAAATATACGAAGCTTAAAAGGCAAGATGACTCATATTGTGCATTTTAACTGTTCACTATAGCAGATTTTTTAAAAATAGAACCTCAATGCCTAAATGCTATTCCCAACAGGACAGGTAAATCACTGAGGGGAATTCTGTGGTCATGATTTAACTTTATAAATGGTACGCAGTTTAATTAGTCCAAGCATGCCCATCTACCTCTTGATCCACTGCCTGTGGCTGAATCCCTTTAATTTTAGCAAACAGCCTGAGGTTTTCCTTCACAGTAAGTATGTCAAAGTGAACATTGAATTGAGGACAAACACCAGTTATCTTTCTGATTTCCTCCAAGTCTTGCATTTCAGAAAGATTTTTATTGTAGATGGTAACTGATCCTAAAAATAGAAGTGAGAAATAATTTAACATTGGCAAGATAATACATTTTATTGCTGCTTTGGGGATCTTATTCATGAAAATCTTTGCATATATACACAAACATGTAAAACAACGACTTCAAAATTTATTAACAACTACTAATTATTCTTAACCTAAATGTGTGCTCAGAGTAGTGTCTATTTCCCCTGGGATATAATGTATCAATGGAATAAAGATAATAATTTTTATAAAAATTGGGGAAATATATTTAAAATCATGAATTTCTGGTTAATAACTTTAGATAAACAAACATTATTTTCTCTTAAGGAGTCAAACATAAACCCTGAAATGAGAAAGGCTACCTATGACCCCACTCTATTATCAGACATCTTGCCTTTGAGGAACTTCTTTGTGCTCACCTTCTGTTGGAACAGAAAGCCCATTAAGGATGTTTAGCAATGAAGATTTGCCAGCTCCACTGTTACCCAGAATTGCTGTGATTTGACCTTCATATATGTCAAAGAGCAAACCTGTTTTTGAAATAAAATATTAACAGCTAAGAGAGCATTAGACAAGCCTGGTTCTAAAGACAGAATAAGAGACATATGCATTTACATATTCATATATACACATGCATGTACAGTGGAAGTAAGTATAGTGTTAATAGTTGGAATTAGAGTTAATTTTCTCTTCAAACAAGAGGAAATCCTTGCAGAAGTTGAAGATGTTTAGACTTAAAAAGCTCACAGTTGTTGATGAGTGCAAAAGTATTACATAATGTGCTCTGGGAACTGAAATAATAAATTTAAAAATACCTCAGTATATCCTTGGCCAAAATTAAGAGAAATCACAAATCTATGGTGTTTGATGAGAAAAACCTGGAGTAAGAATACACTTGCTGATACAAGTACATTAAATTCTCAAATAAAGCTCTAATCTCAAAGAAATAAGTAAGACTGAGTTAAGGGGTGCTGCATTTGCTAGAAAATAAACACAAAGGACAGAGAACTCTCCATTTTCGGTAAGATCTATGGTTTACTTAAATATTTGTTACAGAAAACTATATTTGTTAGGATATTTAGTATAAGATACGTTGGCTCATTCAAAACTATAAACTATGTCATAGGATATTGGCTTTTGAAATTTCATTCATGGTCAATGGTTTTACTCATCTTGATTTAATCTCACTAGCACATGCAAACTGTGTGATTTTCTGCTAGTATAAAAAATTGATCAATTTTAAGTCTAAATATTCCTTCCTCATAGTGCAAATAAAAGAAAATATTCCTATTGCAAATTCATCTTAAAAAAAAAAGTGAACTTGTATTTTTCATTATATGATCCCATTTTTGTAGATCAACAGATCCATGAACCATCCAGAAGGATTTTACATCCAGTTCTTAATTATAGCTAATTTCCACATGGTGGAGTTACACTGTACACTTTTTTTTCTTTCTCTTTCTGTTTTATCAATCTTTTCTAATTTTTCACATTGACTTTACCCAATTAAGTGCTTTTCTTTACCTTTCAATGCTTCTACTTTTCCAGACTTTTCTTTATATTCTTTCTTAATATTTCTGATTCTGAAATGACAAAAGAGGTGCTTATTTAGATAACACAAAAATAAAAATGATACATACCATGAGCAACCCTAGATGGATGCAGTCAACCATCTAGGTATGAAAAAAAGGATGGTATTCCCAGTCTACTTGGGAAGACAAAGACTTGTTTTTGATCATTTCCCCATGAAATAGAACAAGTTTCTTTAGAAAGCTGTGATTAAATTATTAGTGTTATGCTTAGAAAAGTAGAACACTCTGTAATCATCCTCACTTTCTTCCTTTAGTCTTAGAACATTGGGTGTTTCCTCCCCCCTCCACCCCTCCTCGTTTAGATTAGTGCATGTATCTGCATTCTGTAACCATCCTTTCCCAAACCCTGTCACCTGAATTTTCCTGAGAGCTCCTATTTGGCCATGAAATCTGCTTTAGATATGATTGAATTTCTCTCTCCCCTAATCATAAAACAATTCTCAAAATAAAAGTGTAACTTGACATGTCCACTTCCTCACTTTTCACTTCCTCCTCAATCAATTGTACTCTGGATTCTGAACCCACTACTCTAGTGAACCACTTCACATGGAAATTATCAGTGGCCTCCTAATCACCAAATGCAACAAGTACTTTTCCATTCTTACTTGCTGGGTATGGGTCACCATTCATGACTTCCTCTTTGTTAAAAGTGCCTACTTTCAAGGTCACATTCCATTTTATTGGTTTTCTCTATGTATATTATTGTTCATCTCACTCTAGACTCTGTTGATGTGTTATCTCATTGGTTTTCATGGTTTGAACACCAACCTTATGTTGACTCAGTCCTTGGCCCTGAGATTTAGGCTCACATAGTCAAGGTTTGCTGGGTTTCTTCATGCAGATATCACACACACACACACACACACACACCTCTAAATCAGTGGTTGTCAAACTTAATTGCACCATGGAATTCCAAAGGGAACAGCCTTGTACCCATACATTAGTATACTAGTAAGTTAACTACCTGATGGCCTCCTTTCCTTGAAATTCTGGAGCCATTGGTTCAAAATCATCATCAGAGGTATGCTCCAGATCTGTTTCCTTCTCAATGATATTATCAGTCCTTTGGTGTTGGAAACAAGATGACGAGTTCAGGAAAAATAATGGAGAATAACGGCGCTCATTTCCATCTAATTAATTAAGAAGCAATAAAAATATCGGATCAGTAACATTAAAACTGAGAGAAGAATCCTTGTTCAGAATAGTGCAAAATACCTTAGACTTTTAAGCATCATAGAGAAATTCTGTTCTAGCTTCCTGTTACTGAGCATATTATCAAGAAAACTTGATAATTAAGAAATGAAAATTCAAAGGAAGTAACATTATCACAAAAGTTAAAAGAGAACATTCAACAAAGCATAAATCATATTTGAATAAAATATGGTCTAAAACGTATTCAGAACAATGAATAAAACCAAATATTTGGAGGGAAAGCCTTAATATGGCATAAAATTAATTGCAAACATATATGTGAACTTAATGAAGCATTTGATCACAGCAATATGATTGAACATAATACTGAAATCTGCATGGTACATAAATTAAAGTACATAGAGTAATTATATTTGTTCGGGATGAATATATGGTCATTTTCTAGATTAAAAGAAAAAAACCCAAAGTAGTATTTGTTACTAAGGGCCTTCAAGATATAAACCAGAAGTGATAAAAAGATAGGTATACATTGAAACAACCTTAACTACAAAGTGGAAGGAGTATAAAAAATAAGAAGATATTGCCCTAACCGGTTTGGCTCAGTGGATAGAGTGTCAGCCTGCGGGTACCAGGGTCCCAGGTTTGATTCCAGTCAAGGGCATGTACCTTGGTTGCGGGCACATCCTCAATGGAGGGTGTGCAGGAGACAGCTGATCGATGTTTCTCTCTCATCGATGTTTCTAACTCTCTATCCCTCTCCCTTCTTCTCTGTAAAAAATCAATAAAATATATTTAAAAAAAATAAGAAGATAAATAAATAAGAAGACTATGCAAGGAGAAAAGCATTCTGATTCTAGTGTATGTGAAGGAATTCTAGGCATATGTGAACAACTTTTGGTTGTTGCAAGATAAAGAAAACCTAACTGGGCAATATGCTTCTGTAAGCATGAACAATACAGGAAGACTTTTCAGAAAGACTCTGAAAATGTCCTAATGTTCATTTTGTGATTTCCTTAAGGGGCAGATATCTCCCTTCTGAAATGCTCTCCCACATGTGGAGTGAGTGAGAAAGACACTGATTAGTTCACAACCAAGGTCTAGTTTTATTGAGTTTACAATCTGTCCCACATTCTTGTAAGAAAAACAATTTTTATCAGAAAGTACTTCCACTGTATTATGGCCCTATACTGTGTAAGTCCAAACCATCTGAAGAACTAAGTTATTTCAGCTAGTTCTAAACAGATCCTAAATATCATTATTTGAAAACACTTTCAGGGATCCTTGAAAAAAATAATATTATTTAATACAATATAGTTATAATATGTATTAAAATGATCATCATTGTCTATTAATAATGTGTACTAGTGGCCCGGTGCATGAAATTTGTGCACGGGGGGTGGGTGTTGTCCCTCAGCCCGGCCTGCACCCTCTCCAATCTGGGACCCCTGGGGGGATGTCCAACTGCCAGTAAACCGGTAGTCGGACATCCCTTGCAATCCGGAACTGCTGGCTCCTAACCACTCACCTGCCTGCCTGCCTGATTGCCCCTAACCACTCTGCATGCTGGCCTTCTCGCCCCCAACTGCCCCCCCTTGATAGCCTGATTGCCCCCAACTCCCCCCCGCCACCAGATCACCCCCTCAACTGACCCCCCCCCCCCGCCGGCCTGCTTGCCCCCAACTGCCCCCTCCTGCCAGCCTATTTGCCCCTAACTGCCCTCCCGTCTTGGCCTGATCGCCCCTAACCGCCTCTGCCTCAGCCCCACCACCATGGCTTTGTCGGGAAAGATGTCTGGAAGGTCTCCCGGTCTAATTAGCATATTACCCTTTTATTAGTATAGATTATATTAAAGTCAGAAGAATGATTGTTTTTACATAAATATTTTTTCAGATCATTAAAACCATAAAGTAGACATAAAGAACTCATTCAGCCTGTGATGGGAAATAATTGTTATTCATCATTTCTTAAAACATATTTATATGCCCTTAACAAAAAAATCTTTAATGTGATCAACATTTGTAGAGATAAGAGAAAAATCCACTATTACTTACAGGGTAAGACTTTGTCAAAGTATAATGCCAATACCAAGTACCAAAAAGCATCAAAAGCCAACATGAAAAAAGTTGCTATCATTATATATGAGTCTCCCGATGGGTCAGGAAAAGTTACACCATTCATGTTATAATCCATGTGGATAATCTAAGAATCAAACAAAAATAATAAATACTTAAATTAAATAAATAAAAATAATGCAGTGCAGTAGCAAGAATTATCACTTTATTGGGTAGCTCTTTGAAGAAGCCCATTAATGAAGTTATTAGGAAACTACTCCTATTTTATAGCAAAGGAACATTAGAAAATACTAATTTTAAAAAATACAGTGGATATTCATGCAGAAACATTAATATTACCTCTACCTAGAGATACAGAAAAGTTATTTTGAAAAATATTTTACATCTAAATATAAAAGCAGAATCATTCAAGCTTCCAGAATAAAAAGTTAAAAGAATATCTTTATAATCTTGGGGTAGGCAATGATTTTTTTAAACAGGTATATACTCTATATAAAAGAAAAACTTGACAAACTGATTTTATCAGAATTAAGACCTGCTGTTCATCAAACAAAGGCACCACTATGAGAGTAAAAATGTCAGCAACAAATAATTGCAAAATTTCACATATTCAGCATATCTAAGGAATTCCTACAGAACATCAGGAATAGAAAATGTAGCAGAAAAATGGTGAAAAGGTTTGAATCATCGATTTATAAAAATTGAGGAAAGCCCAGGTCCAGGGTGCCAGAGGGAAGCTCGTGCTGGCAGCCGGGGAAAGGGAGGCCTATTCTTGCACGAATTTTGTGCATCGGGCCTCTAGTGTAGAAATAAGACAAGAAAAGACTTCAAAATGAAAATACATCTGAGATGTGAGCTGACCATTTTTTCCTACAATGTAATAACATTTTCAAATTTAGCTTTAGAGAGAACTGTTTAGAACAAAAGCTCTTCATCTGAAAGTGTTGACTATAAAGAGTCATGAAGTATCAAATTCTTCTGAAACTTTAATAATAAACCAATTAACTATCCTCTCACCTGGGCCATTCCAGCAGTGAAGGCAAAAGGGCTAAAAATACTCAAAATCCACTCCAAAGATGAAGGAAGTTGTCTATGCAATGCAGAGAGTCCCACACTGCCCCAGAAGAGAGTGAGGAGAAGCACAACAAAATTGGTGAGGGAAGTTTTCTTGAGCAGCACACTCATCAGGAATGTTAAAGCTATCTGAAAGAGAGAAAAGACAGGTAGCTATTATATAGAATCAGCTCATTGAGAAACATTGATAGCACAATTTACTAAGGGTCATAACATCTTTATGAGTGAGTCAATGATGAAAATATTAAAGTATAATTATGCTCAGTCCTTCTTTCTTAATCCTTTTATAAAAAGGATCCCTTTTTGTCCTATTCAAATGTTGGGCTTTTGTTGCTGAGGATAGGGTGGGGAGAATTGGGAAGAACTGCTTAGGGAAAGGGTGGAAATGCAGACTTGGAAAGGTGGGAAGAAACTAAAAGTATCAGAGTGTCAACATACCTTCTGCAGGAAACACTCTGAAAGGTGGGAGAAAATGGAGGCTGTTGTTCAAAGAAGGGAGAGGAGATTGACATGAGATATCATGGCAAGGTGGGGTATTAGAGCAGCGGTTCTCAACCTGTGGGTTGCGACCCCTTTGGCGGTCGAACGACCCTTTCACAGGGGTCGCCTAAGACCATTCTGCATATCAGATATTTACATGACGATTCATAACAGTAGCAACATTACAGTTATGAAGTAGCAACGAAAATAATTTTATGGTTGGGTCACAACATGAGGTACTGTATTTAAAGGGCCAGAAGGTTCAGAACCACTGCATTAGAGGGAGAAGAGTTGCATAAAGCTACCACGTGATTAGGAAGTTTGGAGAAAAAAGATGGGTTCACTCCTCAAGTGCATCCTTGTTAATCGTCTACAAAAATCTTAGATAATTTAGTCAAAATTTTTTCTTTCTTTTCTTTTCTTGTTATTCCTCACCTGTGGATATTTTTTTCCTGTTGATCTATTTTTAGAGAGAGTGGAGGGAGGGGGAATGACACAGAGAAAGAAACATCAATGTGAGGGAGACACATCGATTGGTTGCCTCCCACATGCAGCCTGACCAGAGCCAGGGATTGAGCCTGCAACCAAGGCATGTGCCCTTGATCAGAATCCAATCGAGACCCTTCAGTCTGTGGGCCTATGCTCTAACCGCTGCACCAAACCACCTAGGACTATTTTTTTCTTTTTGATGCATTTCATTAATTCAGATCTTTATGTAAAAGTGAGGTCCAACTTTATTTAGGTTACATCATTTTCTCACAGTCAGAGGGACTTTCTCAAACACATGTACACACAAAATGCACATGAAAGAAATGACTGCTGAGACAATTCTTGCTACATATAGACAGCTAAGACCTAAAGCAGAGAAAGTGGTCATCATGGCATGAACTTACCAAGGATAAGCCATATAAGAAAAACAGTATAAATATGACCATGAAGCCCGTCATGACTATAATTTTCCTGGATGTTATGATCATTGCAATGAATATGGAAATAATGAAGATGAAGCCAGCATAGATTAAACCCCAGGAGAACCTAAAGACAAAAAGTTATTGCAATTATTTTAATTTTAGTATGAAATACTGGAAACATAAAGTATCTAGAGAATAATGGCATGATTGCCCCTGTGCCTGCCACCTAGATTATTAACTAAAATATCACTAATAATACACTGGCATGGCTGTATCTACTGGGTAGGTGTTAGCTCTATATTCACGTACTGTATAAATAGTATGAACATTGCATAAATAGTATCATCTTGTATGGATTCCTCCACAACTTGCCTTTACCAATCAACATATACAATAGTATACACTGCTGTATAATCTTTCATTAATGACTATATCCCAAAGTTCTCCTGCCCATAATTATTTTGGGTGTTTCTTTTCTTTTTTTCTAATGCAATGTTTCTGGGAGCATTCTTCTACTTGATTTTTTTGGAGGGGAAATGCAAAAACATTTCTCTTAGGTAAAATTGCTGAATTAAAGGGGATAAGCATTTTGTATCTTCAGCTTAATTATATATTACCAACATGTTATAACTGCAGAATTGGAAGGAAACTTGACATTTGTCAATCAATTCAGTAACCATGGAAGGAAGCACTGGGGGCAGATGATAATTTGACCATTCTTGAGATCTTGGCCAGTAGCAAATTCCATAACCCCACTAAGCCCATTCCACTCTTGCCATGCCTATTCATAATTTATTTATATAAACTAATATAAATTACGGTATGCCTACAGCGGTTCTCAACCTGCGGATCACGACCCCTTTGGCAGTTGAACGACCCTTTCACAGGGGTCGCCTAAGACCATCCTGCATATCAGATATTTACATTACAATTCATAACAGTAGCAACATTACAGTTATGAAGTAGCAACGAAAATAATTTTATGGTTGGGTCACAACATGAGGAACTGTATTTAAAGGGCCAGAAGGTTGAGAACCACTGCCTTAAGAGTTCACACTGTTTGCTTTAGATATGCTAGTGATCACATTATTATGAGGTGGTTATTAAGAAATAGTATTCAGCCTTTGACCTAACAAGCATATAGGGTGTTTTAGTCCAAACTTCTCTTTTTACAGCTGAGTAAACACAGTCCCTATTATTAGTTAATAGGCCTATTCAAGGTCAACAGAGTAAAACAGTTTAACAAAGCTAAGATGAAGCCAAGAGACTTTGCTCAGTCCAGAGCTCTTTCCTCTACATAAAATTGCCTAAGTAAGAAAGAATCCAAAGAGCTGCAAATAACAGCAAAAATATTAAAATTGGAAACTTGCATCAATATGTTCCAGTAGACTATGTTTACTGCTTCTCTGACTTTTTTTGAGAAGTTCAAGATTTATTTACTTTTTAATTGAAATTATTGGAGTAACATCTATAATAATAAAAGCATAATATGCAAATTGACCAAATGACTAAACAGCAGAACAACCATCCAGACGACCTTCCAGATGACCACGCTATGGCACCCATTGGTGCCAGGCCAGCCAAGGCAGGTGCAATGCCATTGGTTGGGGGCCCGGCTATCGCCCCATGATCGCCCTGCAGAGGGCAGCCCAGGCCACCGGCCACTAGGGTGATCGATCAATCTGGGGGGCTCCATGATCGCCCCACAGAGGGAGGCCCAGGCCACGGACTGGCAGTGCTGCGGCTGATGGGCGGGGTCTCCCTCTGTGGGGACGATCCATTGCAGAGCCCTGACTGGATGGGCAGGGCTTACCTCTTTGGGGCAATCAACGGCAGAGCCCCGCGATCGATTGTCCCAAAGAGGGAGACCCAGGCTAACTGGCTGGGTGGGGCCTCCCTCTGCGGGGGCAATCCATCCCAAAGCCCCAACTGGTTGGGGCCCACCTCTTTTGAATGATAGATCGCGGGGCTCCAGGACTGTGAGAGGGTACAGGCCAGGCTGAGGGACCCCTTTCCCCTGCCGAGTGCATGAATTTCGTGCACCACGCCTCTAGTTGATTAATAAAATTATATAGGTTTCAAGGTATATAATTCTATAACACATCATCTGTATATTGTACTGTGTTTTTTCACCTCTCCCACCCTCTCCCTCTGGTAATAACCATACTGTTATCTGTGTCTGAGTTACTTGTTGTTTTTTTATCTTTATCCCTTCACCTTTTTCATCGAGCCCCCTCAACCTTCCCTTCTGACAGCTGTCAGTCTGTCCTCTATGAGTCTATTTCTATTTTGTTTGTTAGTTTATTTGGTTCATTAGATTCCACATAGCAGAGCAATCATATGGTACTTGTCTTTCTTTGACTGGCTTATTTCACTTAGCATAATACTCTCCAGGTCCATCCATGCTAGCACAAAGGGTAAGAGTTCCTTCTTTTTCAGTCGAGTAGTATTCCATTGTGTAGATGTACCACAACTTTTTATCCACTCATCTACTGATGGGAACATGGGCTGCTTCCAAATCTTGGCTATTATAAATAGTGAACAGAGGGGTACATATATTCTTTTGAATCTTTGTTTCGCGTTTCTTCAGATATATTCCCAGATGTAGAACTGCTAGATGATAAGGCAGTTCCAGTTTTAATTTTTGAGGGAACTCCATACTGCTTTTCACAGTGGCTGTACCAATCTATACTCTAATCAACAGTGCATGAGGGAAGAAAACTAACGAGAAAATAAACAAATGGGACTATCAAAATAAAAAGCTTCTGCACAACAAAAGAAACCACCAACAAAATAACAAGAAAGCCCACTGCATGGGAGAACACATTTGCCAATGATATTTCTGATAAGTGTTTAATCTCCAAAATTTACAGGGAACTCATACAACTTAACAAAAGGAAGATAATCCAATCAAAAAATGGGCAAAGGATCTAAATAGACACGTTTCAAAAGAGGACATACAGAAGGCCAAGAGACATATGAAAACATTCTCAAAGTCACTAATCATCCAAGAGATGCAAATCAAAACGACAATGAGGTACCATCTCACACCTGTCAGAATGGCTATCATCAACAAATCAACAAACAACAACTGCTGGTGAGGATGCGGAGAAAAAGGAACCCTCTTGCACTGCTGGTGGGAATGCAGACTGGTGCAACCACTGCAGAAAACAGAATGGAGTTTCCTCGAAAAATTAAAAATGGAAGTCCCATTTGACCCAGTAATCCCACTTCTAGGAATGTATCCCAAGAAATCAGAAACACCAATAAGAAAGAAATATGCACCCCTATATTCATTGCAGCACAATTTACAATAGCTTAAGATTTGGAAACAGCCTAAGTGCCCATCAGCAGATGAGTGAATTAAAAACGGTGGTATATCTACACATGGAATACTACGCTGCTGTAAAAAAGGCACTCTTACCATTTGCAACAGCATGGATGGACCTGGAGAGCATTATACTAAGCGAAATAAGCCAGTCGGAGAAAGAGATAAATATCACATGACCTCACTTATTTGTGGAATATAATGAACAACATAAACTGATGAACAAAAATAGAGCCAGAAAAAAAAATATATTCTAGAATAGAGGTAATCCTATGATTTGCAGATTTTTAATATTTCCTACAACTTTTGTGGTATTATACTATTTTAGTACAGTTTTGGTAATATTGTAATATTTAAAATCTTTTTTTCTTGAAATATTAATGTTAATTGGATGTAACATTATATTTAGTTTTTCTTGAAATATTAATGTTTATTGCATGTGAATGGCTAATTATTTTGTATCTACAATCTGGTAATAGATTTGTATGTTGTATAAAATTAAATAAAAATAAAAAATAATAAAATCTCTAAAAAAAAGAGACAACAGTGCATGAGGGTTCCCATTTCTCTACATCCTCACCAACACTTGTTGTTTGTTGATTTATTGATGACAGCCATTCTGACAGGTATGAGAAGATATCTCATTGTGGTTTTAATCTGCATTTTTCTGATGATCAGTGATGTTGAGCATATTTTCATATGTCTATTGGCCATCTGTATATCCTATTTGGATCCTTTGCCCATTTATTAATTGGACTGTTTGTCTTATTTTTTTTGTTTGTTTTTTGGTGTTGAGTTGTATAAGTTCTTTATTTCTTTATAAATTTTGGACTTTAACCCTTTACCAGATGTATCTTTGGTGAATATGTTCTCCCATTCAGTGGGCTGTCCTTTCATTTAGTTGTTGGTTTCTTTTGATGTGAAAAAGCTTTTAAGTTCCATGTAGTTGCATTTGTTTATTTTTTCTTTTGTTTCCCTTGGCCAATGAGGTATGTCAGAAAAAATGTTGCTATGAGACTTTTTAAATGTCATGCCTTTACAATGATTCAGCCCGACTGGAAACATCAGCATTTTTTAAAAAGCATAATATGTTCTGCAGAATCCACTTCCTGAGAACATAAGGAACTACAATAGGTAGGAATTGAAAAACCACAGGGTAGGGGAATTACAAGTACAGGAAACTCAAACATTATCTAGAACAAGGAACTCATTGCAGAGTTGGGGGTAGGGGGTGAGAGAGATGTTATTAAAGTCAATAAAAACTTCACCATGAAAACAAAACAACTCAGACATCACATTTAACTCATATGTGGAATCTAAAGAACAAAACAAACTGATGGACAAAATAGATCCAGAGACATAGAAACATGGAACAGATTACCCATCTCAGAGGAAAGGCAGGGGTGGGTGAGTGAGTGGAAAGAGATTAACCAAAAAATTTGTATACATATATGCATAACCCTGGACACAGACAATAGTATGGTGAAGGCCTGGGGCGGGGGGTAGGTGTGGGATAGAAGGGGTCAATGAGGAGAATAAGGAAGCATCTGTAATACTTTCAACAATAAAGATAATTTTTTAAAAAAAAGAATAAATACTGATTGCATTTCACATTCATTACATAAGTTTTTTAAAGCTGTCATAAAATTTATTTGCAACAGACATCCTATACTTAATGAAAAGTTTCAGAATCTATTGCCTCCTTAGTTTTAAGTTACATGCATACTGGGAATCCTTTTAAGAAACATTTATCCTGAGAATGAATCCACATCTAAATATCCAATGCCTTTCTGATGCTCATCTAGAGTTGACTTGGTCCTACCTATTTCAGGTGACTGCAGAGGTGCTGTTCCACAAGACATGCCCTGGACTGAAAGAGTGTCTTTTCATACAGAGCTCCTGTCTTTTCCCTCCTCACAGACTCCATCTATTCCTTTGTATTTCCCAAAGTTCCACTACAAAATATTCTTCTCCTCTTTCCTTTTTATTGAAAGACCCAGTTTTCTCTTTTTCTATTTCACATGTCATATTACATATCAGAGTCAAAACTCTGTTAATAAAACACAATGCATAGGAAATGTAAAATTTCCTAGACCATACTTTTATTTCAGAGGACATGTGGCTTGCAAAAGATTGTTCAATAAATAGTTCCTTATCTACCCCATATAGTTTCACATTCCTAAGCAGTATCTTCTGGACACGAGGATTATACAGAGACATGTCTCCCAGGTTTCAATACTGAAAAACATCAGGGGTCTTTGGGGGTAAAATTAATTGACCCTTTTTCTTTTCCTAGAGACTATGGACTTTATAACTGATTGCACTGCAGAATTCTCTGCTTGGACTCTCAGCAGTTAGAGCTTGTATGATTTGAATTTTCATCTATCAAATCTTACCTATTATTTTGATAGGTCTTTGCTTCTATTCCTCAATTATTTGTTTTTATTTTATTATTTATTATTATTATTATTATTTTTAATCCTTACCCAAGGAAATGTTTATTGATTTCAGAGAGAGAGGAAGGGGGAGAGAAAGGGAGAAACATCAATCAGTTGCCTCCCATATGCGCCCCGACAGGGTATCGAACTGCAACCCAGGTGTGTGTCCTGACCAGGAAATGAACCTGCCACCTACCTTTTGGTGTACAGGACAATGCTCCAACCAACCAAAGCCACCCAGCCAGGGCTGTTCTTATTTTAATACAAACACGAACACAGAGATACATACACACTTGTATTTCAAAATTTCATAATCACTTTAAACTATTCATGGCATAGGGCAAGATATAAATATATCAATATATGAAGAAAATGCTCTTATTAAGCCCTGCTATGTGCCAGCCTATGGGCTGTGTGTGTTGGGAACATTCTATAGGCTATCTCCTTTAATCCCAACATATGATATTTAGTTGCTCAAAAAAATATTCCTGATGGCCCAACCTCTGAACACAAGCTAGCCTTTATTAGGTCATACTTTCTTCAACACAAGGAACTGTAAAGAAATCAAATGACAATGGTGGGCAGACCTAGCCAGAGAGTTGCAATAAGGGAACCTGGGTTGTAGTCCCAGCTCTGGCAATCATTGGCCAGTGGGCACTGGGCTACTCTTACTCTCTTTGATGAGTATAACAGTGTTAGCTTAACATACTCTGGCACAGAAGAAGTGCTCAGCCAATTAGAATAACTGTTTTGCATGGCAAAATTTAACAAAGACTAAATAAAAAAGTCAGAACAGAAGGAAAATGGCCAAAGTATCCAGTTTAGATCGTGATGTCTTGAAATAGTAACCCTTTCTCACTGCTTCTTCATGTCTCTTAATCAACTGTGCTGTTTGAATCTGTCACTCACCAGAATGCTGAATCTTGTAGACCCATCATTTTCATCAAATCCTTACTCTTTTTTCTCTCTTTGGTAACACCGAATGATGCAAAATATATAAACGAGGAGAAGTAAAGCAAGCACTGGAAAAGAAACATCTCATTCTGAAGGAGGTCTTTAGCGATAAAAGGTAATGTCTTCATATTTATAGCAGTGACTGACATCAGCTCTCCCATCACAGAGTGATCTGTCAGGATCTTAAAAAAAAAAAAACAGTTTAAAGAAACAAAATCACTTTTTAAAGTCAAGAATCGAGAAATCAATAAGCTATGGGGATTGTACCAATGTCAATTTCCTGGTTTTAATACTGTCCCACGGTAACGTAAGACATTACCAGTTGGAGAAACTGAGCAAAGGGCACGCAGGCCTCCCTGGACACTGTTTTTGCAACGTCCACTCGTTCCATAACTACTGGAGATTTTAAAGTAAAAAAACAAAAGCAATGTGGTTCTTGGCCTAAATCCCATTTCACCCTACATATCCCTGCTTCCTTATACAACCGTGCGGAAACCTGAGTGTATATCACCTTTCATCAACATTTTGATGCTTCTGGCATTAATTTGCATTATTTATTAGAACTTTTCTTACTTCTATAATAGCAGCATTAATCGCAGCTTGTAAAGTCACAAATCCTGAATGCAAGTATTTGGTCAGTAAACATGATGGCTCATTTCCTGAATTCCAGCAATGAGCTGTAAAGCACAAAGAAGGGCAGAATCATTATTACGGGATGAAGGCACTTTGAGAACAAGAAACAAGAATCTAAGAGAAAACAATCTAGAAGGGGCTCCACCAGTCAGAACCTTCTATCACATAGAAAAATAAAAATAAAAGAAGCAAATTAAAGTTCTCAATGAGGCAAGTTTATTCATGGAGACCATAGCTTGCATAAGGAGCTGAGAAAAAAAAGATGAAAGCTTCAACCATACTGGACCCCTTGCTGTGCCTGGAAACACCGAATGCACTCCAGGGCTAGAACTTCTTTTGTGCTCAAACACTCTCACTCTAGAAATTCATGATGCACTCCTTCCCTCCATCCTGCCCTCTTCTCAAAAGTAAACTCATTATAGACATCTTTCCTGGCCACCATAAATAAGAATATCTAAAATAGCTCTTTCAGGCTCTATCTTCTATGCCTGCTTTATCTTACTCTATTGCTTTATCGCCGCCTGACTGTAATGATCCGTGCTAGCAGACTTATCTAAGTATGTTTTCTTCACTTCAATCTTCAAGGCCAAGAAAAATGCGAAACACACAGTAGACCATCAGTGAAGGGTTGGAAAAAACCTAATTCTATTAGTCACTTCAATTCTGCTTCTTTTTTTAAATTTTATTTTAAAATATTTTTATTAATTTTTTTTACAGAGAGGAAGGGAGAGCGATAGAGAGTTAGACACATCGATGAGAAAGAAACATCGATCAGCTGCCTCCTGCACATCCCCTATTGGAGATGTGCCCGCAACCAAGGTACATGCTCTTGACCGGAATCGAACCTGGGACCCTTCAGTCCGCAGGCCGACGCTCTATCCATGGAGCCAAACCAGTCAGGGCCAATTCTGCTTAAGGGGTCCTCAAATATCTTCCTCTTTCTAAGCTGCCTCCACTCTGTCTAAGCCACCATCAGCTCACTGGTACGTTTTATTGCATTCTCCCTGACTCCTCTGCAATCATCCTCAAGGCTATATCCACACTGTTACCTTAGACTCGGAAGTCTAATCATGCTTCTGCCCCGATTACTGTACCTGGATGGCTCTCCATTGCCCTGGGATTAAAGGACCCTACAGGATCTAGACTTTGAGTAATTTCAGCCTCATTCTCCCATCACATTCCTTCTTGTCTTCTCTATTCAGTTATACTGCTCTTCTTCTGTATATATTAGCTGATGTCCTTTACCTCTGGGCCTTCACACTTGCCCTTTTTCTATCTAAAAAAAACAATGCCCTAGCACTGTATATGTGCTATTCCTTCTGATGTTTGTTAAAAGATCATTTCCCCACGTATGACTTCTCTAATCGCAAGCATATTAGAAACCCTTGGTCCAAGTCCCTTCAAGGACTTTCCCTTGCACTTACTATTAATGTATCTCAGTATGTCTGTTCTGCTAGATTGGGACCAATCACTCTTGGTCACCCTCTGCATCCTTGCAGTATCCACCTGAGAGCTCACTATATACAGATGTTGGGTGACTCTATAATCTTTCGTGCATCATCCTACAGTGGGATAATATGATCGACCTTGGGAGAAGGTTAGCAATAACGTGTGCTTTTGAATGTTCTCATACGCCATTGAAAGCATCTGTGTGGACCATGCCAACCTGTTCCTTATGCAAAAAAACATGAAAAACATCATAATGATATTTTATAGGGAAAATCACCTGAGATATGTTCTTCCTTCAAAAATGGAATGCCATACCTATGAAAAAATTTTAACTTATAAGAGAAAGTATCACTAAAGATGATTCCCACTGCACTTGGGAAATGGTGCTCAAGTAGCTCGTCCATAGATTTTTGATCTGGTGCCCCAATGACTGCTGTTTCTGTGAATTACAAAGCAAAAGCAGGTAAGACTGTTAGAATTTTACTAAAACAGACTGTGATATCCAATTGTATCATCCTATATTTTCCATTAGAATTAAAATAAAATCTTTTTCCATTTACATAAAACTTATGCCAAGAGGCAAGAGGGGATTTTTTTATTTTACTGTTTTAGATTCTAGAATCAGGAGACATGCATGAGAAATAATGGTAAGTCTTAGGGCAAGTTTTAGGTACATAAAAGATTATACCAGGATAAGTATGCATAAGGAAGGATAATTGGTATGCATAAGAAATCAGAGTTACTTAAGCAAATACATCTCTCCTATGATCTTTGCTTTACTTAGGAACCAAGAGCACAAAGCGACTATATATCAAACAGCTAGGAGTTTTACCTGTTAAAAATTAAGGGTTAAAAATCAGGTATCCAGCTCACCCATGAGTGAAATACACATTGTGCTTATCTCAGTTATATAGCAACCTCATTTAGAATGAAGGCCTTAAAAGATGCTTACCAAAAAAACACCTGATACAGATTATCTTTAGACCATCCATCCTTACTTATCATAGTTTTAAAATTATTGTTTAATAACTATGGCCTAACTTATTTTAGATGATTATTTTTCCTAAGTTACATAAATCTTAATCATTGTATTCCTGCTTAACACCCACATACTCTTCCTAGACACTATTCTGTAAATCTGGAATGACAAATGTATTGCTTTAGTTAAATTTCATTAGAAATGAGGCCTCCCTAAACTGGACCCCCATCAAGCTGAAAAAGGGTTTAATAGGCTAATTGTTGTTAAAGAAGAAACTAACCAAATTTATATACTATTTTAATACCTAAATAATTAGCTTAATGGGTCACTGTAACTTCAAATTTAACATATACACATCTTTCCCAAAATTTAAAACAATATCAGTAATTCCTTTGTCTTGAGTATACTTACCTTTCAAAAAGGGAGCAGATACTGTTTTATTCATTATCTGCTTGGTTATACTGGAGACCGGTGTATACACAGCAAACATGAAAGAGTTATTATATTTGTCTACCCTTCCCAGGTTCTGAGAAGGCTTCCCAGGAAACTGGATATTTTCTTTTGTAAGCGACAATAAGCCCATATATAGTCCTAAAAGTACTGGAAATCCCCATTCCTGTAACACAGAGGGGGAAAAAAACAAATTTATGTTATATGCCCTTAAAGAGCTCAATTGACACCAAACAACTAAAGACAAATTCCAATGTTGCCGCAGCACTGGCTTCTTTTGCTCTCCGTCAGAACAAAAGGAACCCAATGAAAGACATACTGATCAATGTGCAGATGATGTTTTGTTGAGTTGTACACTTGAAACCTGTATGGTGTTGTGAATCAATGTCACCCCAATAAATTCAATTAAAAAAAAAGAAAGACACATACTGAGAAAGTTGCCACAGATATCATTCTCCACGAATACAACTACACCTTTTCTCTAAATCATGAACCAATGGGGAGCATAAGATAAAAGGATGATGATCTCTGTATGTGTGGGCATCTGATTCTAAACTCTACGGGACACAGATTATCCCAGGTAAGTTTTATGGTGGCAAAGAGCAATATCCTTGTCAGTTGTCAAGGAAATCAAAGAAAATGAAAAGGAACTGAGTGGTAGAGACTGCCTAGTGTTTCACATTATCAGTAATCTCTTCCCGCTTGGCACAATGCTAGACTATATTTCTAGCCTCTCAAAATCAGGTGGGACCAAGTGAGTCAGTTACAGCCCATGGAATGTGGGCAGCAGTGATACAGGCCACTTCCAGGCCTGGGTCATGGAACACAATCTAGGTCCTTCTATTCCTGATCTTCTGACTGGATGTGCCCAATCCAGGGAAGGTCTCCAAGGCCCAAGGAGAGGTCAGAGTCCCTAGATGAAGAAGCCTGGGTTCCTAAATGACTGTATAGAGAAGATCCCTTCACCCACCCAACCCACTTCACTTTCCTGCCAACCTTATTTAGGCTGTAAAAAGAGTGAAGCCGCTGCGGTTTGGGGCTGCTACCTGTAGACAGCCCACCTACCTAATTCAAACTGACAATCAATGATGTTCCTTGGTCATAATTCTTAGAAATAGTCTCTATGTAGATGATTCATGGCCTTGAAAATAAATCCCTAAAATTAAAATTCTTTCATTTCTGCCAGGCACTACTTTTATTCTTTCTTGACTCTAAATGTATTACATGCAAATTATAGTAGCTTTAATAGTTGCTGCAATTTATCATATAATTAAATTTTCACTTGACCTCATTTTTTAAAAAAAAAAAAATGAGTAAATACTTTGTCTTTACAATTTTACATTATTTTTCTGGAGTGCTGTGAGTCTCGCAATTCAACAAATACAACGAGAGGCAACTTCAAAATCAATACATCCAGTCTGTTACTTAAAATATAAAATGAGAATCGTTAAGCAACGAAATACAATAATGTTGACTGTAGAAAAAAGAAAACTTTCATACGTACCAGTAAGCTCTCTCTTTTCATCCTCCACTTCGTAAGAAAATTTTTGCACAGAAGTGCTTGAGTTTGTTGATACACATTTTTCTTTTTCCTGTTCATTTAGCCTATTCATTTAAATGAACAAGAAGAAAGTAAACATTGTGGAGCATAAACTAGAAAAAAGGTGTAATAAGAAAAACCTTGATCATATGGGGGTGAGGAATATTTCCTACCTTTAAGAACTGAAAAAAAATGGATTTAAAATATTTGAATAACTCATGATTATAAAATTATACATCAAATATACGCACTGTACGTTATTTGGTGGGGAAGTAAAATGATTATCGTCACAACTTTACAATAATGAAGTATTACAATGGAAAAGACATCATCAGATACCAGAACCTGTCAGATACTTCACATTTTTGACCTTTCATAATGGAAATTCAACTATATGAATAGCATATCTGAATTGTATCTTATATGACTAATAATTGTTTATTCTTTGCATTTAAATAGAAACTCCAGTATTTACATCAAATTAACATCAAACTTCTGATTAAATTCATCTGAATAATTATGTCCATGAGATGCAACCCCAATGAAATATTTTCTTGTGGCTTTTACCTTCCAGACTGACTTGAACAACTTTTTATCAAAAGAGGCCATAGGATAATAATCTAGACTCAAACTACTTGACACTTGATTTTAATACACAGGAAGAATGAAACAATTTATCTCAATTTTCTGAATTCTGACGTCGCTGAATAACTGAGGAAACAAACTACAAAGTATGTTTTAGAAAAAAGAAAGAAAAAAATCACATGGGAAAGTAATTTTGCCCAAATGTTTGCAAGTAAACCAAGAGATAATTTTTTTCAGTTTTTGAAATCTCAAAATTTTAGATTTGCATATTAAAATATTCAGACAATTCTCTCTCCACTAGCATAGAAGCAAATTTTTACTATTTTCCTTTATTCTGCTCTTGTGTCTATATAATAAACTTGGTTGGTAAAAAATAGAAAAATTTTATCACAAATCACATAAGTATTTAGAAAAACATCTGAAAAATAGATTTTATTTTTTTATTTTTTCTTTATTGATTAAATTACATATGTGTCCTTATCCCCCCATTGTATCCCAACCCCCCCACTCATGCCCTCACCCCTCTGGTGTCTGTGTCCATTGGTTAGGCTTATATGCAAGTATACAAGTCCTTTGGTTGATCTCTCCCCCCCGTGTCCACCTACATATTTGACATAACACCACAAAACAGAGCTCTACTTACTGAAAAATCAGAAGTACTCTTGAAAACACTCTCAAAGCACTGTTCTCTTTTTGTCTGAGGCAATGATTAAAAATTTTTGATGGTCACTTCTTCATTTATTCCTTAAATGGGTACCCACTCCCAACGGTTCTTAACTCGGGCTGGTTTCTGGAAAGGGGTGTAGTCAGACTAAGTTGCACATGATGAACTTGTTTTCTTTTCTTCCTTACGCCAATTATTCTGCACGGAAATGACCGTTCTGTGGTTGGTTGAGAATAAAAAAACCCTGTTTTTGTGCACTTGGCCTTTCAACTCCAGGGCTCTGGGGTACAATGGTAAACAAATGCAGCGAGTCCTTCAGACTTGATGAATAAAGATGGGGGGTGGGGGAGAACCATGACTGAGTAAAATCAGTAACTAAGCAAAGTAAATTTGTATAAGGACTCTTTAGCTATTTTTTTTTTCACTCCTAATGCCTAAACACAACTGCCAATGATATATTTGACTATTTTAGATGAAATATGCACAATGTGCTGGAGTCGAATTTCTTTTTTTGCCTAAGAAAGCTAAGCAATCCATAGTTTGCCATGGAGAAACACCTAAGTTAGACAAATGAGTAATAAACGAAGTCCTTTTCCCGCCTCAGTTCATACTGAATGCCGAATTTCATAAGGCAATAGAACATAATAAAAAAGTGGATTTCTAGGGACTAAAAAACATAGAAGAATTAAAAAAAAAAAAGATTTGGGTCAATTTTTATGCATGACAACCAGGCAAAAAACTTGAAATTTGTTCAACTGTTACTGCATAGTTTATCTCTCCCTGTAAAGAGTTGCAAACTTTTCTTGACCCAGCAAAGTAAATGACAAAACAGGAAACCAAAGTCCATGAATTGGGAAATCTCAAATATTGGACATGGCTCCTGATCCACAGATGTTAATAATCATAAAACTGAGAGATGTTCTGGAGAACAGGTGGATCATTTTAGTTCTACTTTTACAAATAATCAACAGTGAAATATTACATGTCATTTATATTTAAACTTGGAAAAAAACAAAGGTAATAAAAATGTTCTAAAGTCTCATAGATGGGGGCAGAGGAGCAGGTCATAGATACTATTAAAACTTTATATCAGTAATAGGTCAAGGGTCCAAACAAAAATTCTAAGTTTGTTTTAAATCACCTGAAATATATTTCAAGTTTTTATTCATTTTGTTATTGTTTTAGACCCTATGTACTCTATTTTAAAAATCATTTTCCCACCCTGCCTTTCTCATAAATGTATTAAAATTCACAACTACAATGTCAATAATTATTCAGATTACTAGTAAGTATTTTGCTAGTTTCAATTTTTATCATTGATTTTTTTGTGTATTCTTTGTGTTCCTCTTTCTTGACTTAGTTACTGTAATTTATTTTTATTTGGGGGCCCTTTTCCATGACTTCCCCATAAATTTGACCTAATTTGTTAAAGAAGTGTCCAACCTCCAGCTAGAAGCACATGGAAATGGTGGGTAAAATATACCCAAAATAGATGTTCAGATATATAACCAAAACCTAAAAGAAGAAAAAGATAAAGAGAAGAAAATAAGAATCAACAAAAGAAACGAGAAATAAAAAAACACACACACACATTCTCGGGTGTAAAAGGGGGGAAGGGAAATTAAAGCTGGAACTGTGAGCATGTTAGAAAGCCAGCAGTCCGAAGAGGTGTTTTCACACCCTTGGGACCTGAACGTGGTGCCTGGCAGGTTCTGAAGCTGGCCTCCTGTCTCCACATGAATCCAGAAGCTTCACAAGACTGTTCAGCGTTAGAAATAGAGACTAGAAAGACTTCACCTCCTACTCCAATGGAAAGTAAGGATGTATTATTTGCCAATCTCTAGATTAAAGAGAGAGTATCCTCCATAGCAAATGAAAACCCAAGCATATGTAGCACATGTCAGATACAGGACACAGAAGCAGGAGCTGAATTTATTCTCCCTGCATAGCAGCATGCTTAAGAACATATCATAGCAGTTAGTGCAGGGTTCAAATTCTGGCTATGCCATAGCTGTGTGTCCCTGTATCGTCTATTTAACTTTTCTTCCTCAGTTTTTCATCCAAACAGCCCAGCCAACATGCCTCAGTGGTTGAACTAGACCTATGAACTAGGTACAGGGGTGGGCAAACTTTTTGACTTGAGGGCCTTAAGCTGGACAGAAGGAGCTGCAGCCGTGTTTCCCTACGTTGCCATGTTAACACCGCTGCTGGTGAAGGAGCGGAGGGGAGAGCAAGAGAATCCTCCGCTCTTTCGGCTCCGCGGGCCGGAGGATAGAACAGCCGAACGGGCCGGATCCGGCCCGCGGGCCGTAGTTTGCCCACGGCTGATACTAGGAGGTCACGGTTCAATTCTTAATCAGGGCATATGTCTGGATTGCGGGCTCGATCCCCGTGTGGAGTGTGCAGGAGGCAGCCGATCAATGATTCTCTCTCATCATTGATGTTTTTTTCTCTCTCTTCTTCTCCCGTCCTCTCTCTGAAGTCAATAAAAATGTATTTTAGCTAGGGGACTGTCTAGGGCGGGGGGATAAAATGGACACATATGTAATACCCTTTGTAATACTTTAAGCAATAAATTAAAAAAAAAAAAGAATAAAAAATAAATAAATAAGTAAGTAAAAAAAAATGTATTTTAAAAAACTGAGATAATTGTATATATGTATGGTTATTTGGAGGATTAAGTTCATTAATATAAGTTAATAGAACATTGCCTGGAAAATTGTAAAAGCTCAAAAAATAAAACACATCACAGCCACATTACTTGTTGCCAAAATGCCTCTCTCTCCTCCTTTTCCTCTTATTACCACTATTATCCCGAAACTCCACAGAGAAGACAAAAATCTATAAAGATACGTCAAGAATACAAGGCACACAGATATAGCAGCTAAGCTCATAATCAAAAGTTAACATGAAAGATAATCAGCAGACAAAAACAATGGGACTATTAGCAACCTCAAAAATTAAATAATAATAAATATTATGCCAAAGACTATAAAATATATAAAGTATTAAAGAAGAAAAACAGGAGACAATGAAAAGAAAAACTAATAGGAAAATAACCCATTAGAATTTATACGAATTTAACAAAGGATTAAAAAATTAAGCTTAAAAACTTAGTAGATAAGTTTTATAGAAGATTAGACACAACTGAAAAGAATATTAATAAACCATAAATATATCTGAAGAAATCATAAAATTTAGTGCAAAGCAAGAATAAAATGGAAAAATATTTGAGATGTTAAAGGATATGAAAGATAGAATGAGGTTGTCTAGAATATGTCTAGTAGGTATTTTTAAATGAGGAAAATAAAGAATAAGTAAAAAGAATGCTCAAGGATAAAATGTATGAAAATTTTCCAGAACTGAATTTTAATTCTAACGGGTCTGGGTATCACTGACCTTATCTATCTTTTTTACCTTTTTCACCCATTTGCCATTTTAACAATTTTAAGTGTACAAGTCAGTGACATTAATGACATTCACAATATTACACAACCATCATCACTATCTAGTTCCAAAACTTCATTACAGGAAACTTTGTAAGCATTAAGCAATCACTTCCCCATTTACCCCTTCTTCTTCTTCTTCTTCCTCCTGGCAACCACTCAACCACTTTCCATCTCCATGAATTTGCCAATTCTAGATATTTCATATGAGTGCTCATATTAATACAATATGCATGCCTAGTTTATTTCAAGAAAACTTTAGGTTATATTTCACCAGTTTAAAAAAAATCAAATGGATTGAGACATTGAAAATTCTGGGCAATGAGAATGGCCACTCATTTTACTTGCAACCATTAGTATGTTTTACCTAATTTGTTAGCTCTTTCATGGCACGTGCTTCTGTATTCATCCCAACAGGGTTTTGCACTGTTCTGCCTCAAACACTGCATGTTGCAAAGATTTATCAGTAAGCAACTGCTTGTGCCCTCTGCCTCCACCAACCTACCATCTCACTGCTGCTTCTGACTTGGCTTTCAGGTTGGCTTCTCTGCCAGTTGCTCTATCTTCTTTATCCATTCATTTCCCGAAGGATGCTTAAGCTGTTTTCACTCCTTGGCTATCATGAGTAATGCTGCAATGAACATGGGCATGCAGGTATCTTTTCACTATCCTGCTTTCATTTTCTTTGGCGATATACCCTGTAATGGAACTGCTGGAACATATGGTAGTTCTGTTTTTAATTTTCTGAGGACTCTCCTTACTCTTTTCCACTATGTACCAATTTGCATCATCCCCTCCAACAGTACACAGGAGTTCTCTTGTCTCCACAGCCTCAACAACACTTACCATCTTTTATCCACTTGACAATATAGGCTGACTTTTTCCATCTGGATTCCCGAACCCCATGAAATTAGTATAATTTCTATTCCCAGCCACTCGAGTATGGCTCTGACTTTTCTTTCTCAAGTCCCGTGTCCGGGATAGCTACTCCAGGTAGCGGGTACTGTGCATCACATCCCCAACTTCAGACAGCTTCTCTGATCCCCGTCTCAGTCTTTGGGATTTATATCCAGGTTCGATATCCTGCGGGGCCACAACACAAGCCGGAGCTTATTGCTCCGGTGGTGTTAAAGTGGTTTTGTTCTATTTTATCCAGAATTTCATGTGTTTGCAATGGGAGGAGGATCTGTGTTCAAAGGCATGAACTATGTGGGTGGAACTCTACGTATGGGTTTTATGGGATAAGACAAGCTGGGGCTAACCAGCTTCACACCTGCTTCATGGGAAAACAGCCCTCCTGAGGGATGAGAGCCCAGGCTGTTCCTAATGGAAGGCTGACCATAATTTGTACTATGGAAACAAGACCATAGCACATTTCATCCTATGTGTTGCTGACTGTACAAAGCTCAGCTCAGTCCAGCCAGCATGGCCGGGAGGTCACGGTTCGATTACCCATCAGGGCACTTGCCTGGGTTGCAGGCTCAATCCCCAGTGTGGGGCAAGCAGGAGGTAGCTAATCCAATGATTCTCTCTCATCACTGATGTTTCTCTCTCTCCCCCTCACCCTGCCTGTCTGAAATCAATTTTTTAAAAAAGCTCAGTTCATGCCCTGACCAGTTTGGCTCAGTGGCTAGAGCGTCGGCCTGTGGACTGAAGAGTCCCAGGTTCGACTCAGGCCAAGGGCATGTACCTTGATTGCGGGCACATGCCCAGTGGGGGGTGTGCAGGAGGCAGCTGATCCATGTTTCTCTCTCATGAATGTCTCTAACTCTCTATCCCTCTCCCTTCCTCTCTGTAAAAAATCAATAAAATATATATATATATATATATATATATATATATATATAATTTTTTTTTTTTTTTTTTTTTTAAATCTCAGTTCAAACAGAGACAAAACCAATCAAAAGCTTTGGCTCTCTGGAAACTGAACTGGGAAATACAGTGGATTCCACAATGTGCACCAGGAGGCAATGAAGCAGGAGGGACAATGTAGGCCATGGGGGAAGTTCAAGCCAGAAGTGAACAAAAGCTCTGAGTAAGGAAAAGCAGCAGGTTGAGAAAAGCCGTACTAAGCAGTGGATGCTAGAGCCAGTTGATTGGAGGGAGAAGTGAGTACTGATAAGCACAGCAGAAAAAGAACAGGTAATTTCAGGAAACTTAAATGTCTCATTCTTTGAATTAAGATCAAGAACAACACAATATATTATGCAATATATTTTGTTTGTTAATATCATGGTTTTATGAGAACTACTCATTCCATCATGCATACTTTAGGGACTTATCAGATACAGCAAAGACAGCTGCTTTAGAAAAACAAGGACTAAATGAATATAAATTTATACATCAACTATGCCTACATTGTACTTAATGTTCCATGGGGAACCAGGGGATATTCTATGAGTTGGGATAAGACTTTTTCTCTGATAATAAAGTCGGCTGAAGTTACTTACAAGACTGCTCTTGGGCAACTGCAAACAGATCTCTATACCCGCCAGCATCTTTATACAGAGGTCTCCACTGCGTGGTCAGGACACCATCCAGATGGTCTCACAACACATGGCTCTCTCAAGGCTGTGTCCTTGAAAATGGCTCTCACTGTGGGAACAATGGGCAGAATGTGCATTCCAAGGATAGGGACCAAGACAGGAGCCTCCAATTGTTTGTCCAGCACGGAGTCAACCAGCAGTCACATCTTCTTGATGACCTCCTCCAACCATATCCCATTTTTGCATTTATATCTTAAGAGAATTTGCTTTTGTATCATGTTACATTTCCCCTCCCCTAATATGACAAAACTGTTTATTTGGGTCACTTTTATGACATAATCACCTGTCAGCAGATGAAAATGCTCGGAAAATTGCCAGACTGCAGCTGCCAGCTTACTCTTTAAAGGAAGATCTGGGTTTTACGCTATATTAGTACTTAGTTACGTCACAGATAGCCCTTAATCCAGTGGTTCTCAACCTTGGCTGCACATTAGAATCACCTGGGAAATCTTTTTAAAATCCTGATTTCTGGGCCTCATCCTCCGGAAATTCTGTTTCTTTGTTATGGGGTGGGGCCACAACATTAGTAACAAAGAAACAGAATTTCCAGAGGATGAGGCCCAGAAATCAGGATTTTAAACAGATTCCCAGGTGATTCTAATGTGCAGTCAAGGTTGAGAACCACTGCCTTAATCAATTCCAATCATTAACTGAACAACCTAACCAGCACTCATTTCTTATCTCAAGTTATCAAAGCGTAAACTTTTGTGACCCAAGATGGCTCTTTTACTGGTAAATGTGTAACCTTAGGAAAGGCGTATATGTAAAAATAAAAAAAATAAAAATCACTTCCAATTACTGTATTGATACTTTTTGGACATTCTGTATTAATGCAAGTGTGGTAGTAGGCCTTCTTCTAACATGTAATTTTCTGTATGTTGTCTATTTTGAAGATGCTTGAAATTATTAAAGAATTGATTTGTTTAATTTAAAAGGTTTGGCTGGTTTGGCTCAGTGGATAGAGTGTTGGCCTGTGGACTGAAGGGTCCTGAGTCTGATTCCAGGCAAGGGCACGTACCTCGGTTGCAGGCCCCTCTCTCCTCCCCGGACCGGGCCCAGGTCGAGGCTTGTACAGGAGGCAACCAATCAATGTGTTTCTCTCACTTCGATATTTCCGTCTTTTCCCCTCTCTTCCACTCTCTCTAAAAATCAATGGAAAGAATCCTCGGGTGAGGATTTGAAAAAATAAATAAAATCAGAGGTGATTAATTAGATTTGCAGGAGGTGCTTAGATGCTTGGGAAGAAGCGGTTCATTAGATTTATAATCTTTTTTAAAATTTTATTTTTCAATTGCAGTTGACATACATTATATTAGTTTCAGGTGTACAACACAGTGATTAGACATCTACACACCTCACAAAGTAATCAGCCCGGTAAGTCTAGTACCCACCTGATACCAATACTATACATAGTTATGGCCTAAGTGTTTGAGAGAATCAAATTTATTCCAAAATTCTAAGAAAGTTGATAAGTATGTAAGTAGTATTAAATATTTGGAAATAATTTAATATGTTAAATATAATAAACACATTGACTCTGTACTTGAAAACAAAATTACTAACAATTATAGGTCCAGGTTTTTTCTTCATTTTTAATATGTGCCACTCATTTTCATTTCTCAATACTAAATAACAAAGAATTCATTTCATACAAAATAAAGGTTGTCTTAAATTTTCAGTTTTTAAAGCTTACTACTAATAATATAATCAATTTTTTTCATAAAGGGCATCATTGATAATTACTTACATACAACATGTTACGAATAAAAAATAAGTAAACTTTTACCTTATAAGAATAGCTGATATAAAAATTGTCCACCCAAGAATAAATTCTTTCATTTATGTTATATGTTCTTTCAGAAAAGAAAATAAAAAATCAATGTTAGCAATATTAAAAATACATTAAGGATAAGCATCTCTATTTTTTAAATAATTAATGCCTATTTACGCATTACATAAAAATACAGTATGGTATTTCATCAAATTCAGAGTACAATCAAAATGAAATATTGTGTGACCAACAGAACAATAAAAACAATGACCAATTACCCTAGGTAGAATTAATTGTGCTCCCATAAAAGTGTCAGTACCACTAGCAAAGTAGTTGTCATGTTATATCAAAGTTAGTTATATAAGGATCTATCTTCCACCTATTAGATTATAAAATCTTACAGGGCCAAAACTGATAGTTGTTCCTACCCAAAGAACCCATCGCTTGAAACACAGTTACTAATAAATTGTTGCATTAAATAATTCTGAAAATATTTTAATGATAAAAATCAAACTATTGGCTTAAGATAGCTTGCGTCAATGTAAAGGAAAAAATGCTGTTAAAGAAAACCTACAGCCTTTTACTAAGAACAAACTAGGGAAAAAAATTAAGATTTTTTAAAATGTGAAGTGTAAAGTACACTTACTCATGTTTTTAATTGTTACCAACGGCTTGATTCCTAAGTGCTAAAGACAGAGGGTTGCCTTATTAGTCAGTAACCAGTCACTGAGTGAAGTCCAGCCTTACTCTACTTTTAAAATTAACCATGGACAGAAAATATAAACTAGGTGATGAGTTTTTTCCCAACTTTGCCCATATGCATTTATATGTACTTATATTGTTATAAAAAACATTTTGAGATCCGTAATTTAAGGTATTTTTAAAGAAAGTAACATCTATAATAATAAAAGCATAATATGCTAATTAGACTGGACAAAGCTACTGCGGCGGGGGCCAAGCCCCTTGCATGTATTTCGTGCATCACGCTACTAGCATTCAATAAGATGAACAGTAAGCTGTAAATAAACATACATTCATATTTTAGTTTCTGTCTTCTTTTCTTCCCACCCTACTTACCCTTGTTTTCCTAAGGATTAGTTAAATTATACTTCTGAATAGGAAAAATTGTATTACTGTGAAAAAGGGAATAGAACATTCCTACAAATAATTTAATTCATGACCAAAATATTTGCTCTATGTAAAAACTAAAAAAATTAATTCAAGTACCTTTTAAAAAAATGCCTATAGGCACAAAATAATAGTAAAGAAACCGAACATAGTAGAAAAGAACATAATTGGCATAATCTCAACTTTCACTTTGCAGGGAAAAATTTTCCTTTCCATTGATCACACTTCACAGATGTTAAAGTGAAGGTGACCAAGTCAATATACAAAAGCAGGTGGTGTTCTGTATTAGTCATGCTCTGCTTTAAAATAACACATCTCTCTGGGTATGAAAACTACCTTTTCAGTCACTGTCCTAGTAAACCATAAATAGTTTTCTTCTTTACACTGTGAGTGTAACTGTTCAAGATAATGCATAGCTACAAATACCCATCCCAGAGACAAGTCCCTGGGTATTTATATGGATATTGGACGCTAAAAGATAGCTCTTTAAATTTATGACACCACTTAGCAATGGCTTGTTTAGTAAATGCAATGTACTATTTATTAATTTATCTACAAAGGTAACGATTTTCTTTCAAATGTGTCTGGAATTGTATTCATCATGCAGTACTTAAGTTTGGTACTAAAGTCCTAAAAGTAAGATTCTCAGATGAAGAATCCAAAAGCCTGGTGTCATGAAGCAAATGACTGTCACTTAATAATAAAAGATTAAAAACAAGTGCCAAATAAACCTTACAAGGAGAAATAAGTTAGCTGTGGGTCGTAAAACCCAGGCATAAACCGTGAGACGGCTCGGATTAGTTAGAAGACCTCTGAGATAGCTGGTAGAGTGGGCACCGTTAAGAATGTAGGCAGCAGTTACCAAAGCAGTGAAGGGAAGTATCAGTCTTGTACCTAGAGTCTAAAATCACAGATGTCTCATTACACAGTAGAGCTAAAAGTTCATTAAATTTTGTCTATTTTAAGTAGTTAATAATTTCATTAAAGGGTTTGGCTATTTAAAGTAATTCCAATTCTTCTGTTTTTGTCATTATCACACTTCCAATATATTAGCTTTGGCAAAGTTAATACTTTCATTCATCTGGCTGAAATATAACATCAACTCGTATTACTTGTACTATATTTTACCAATAGTCCATATATGGGTTCTACAAGGACGTATAGTTGACCCTTGAACAACACGGGTTTGAACTGCGCGGGTCCACTTATACGCAGATTTTTTTTTTTTTTCAATAAATACGCATGGTACTGTGAATGCATTTTCTCTTCCTTATGATGACTTTCTTAACATTTTCTTCTCTCTAGCTTAATTTATGGTAAGAATACAATATATGATATACAAAATATGTATTAAATGGCTGTTAACATTAACGAGAAGACTTTCAGTTAACAGCAGGCTCTTAGTTAAGTTTCTGAGGAATTAAAAGTTATACATAAATTTTCAACTGCGTGGGGGTGGGGGATGGGAGGATGTCGGCACTGCTAACCCCCACGTTGTTCAAGAGTCAACTATTTTCTGAGATTACATTAACCATGACCTTACTCCAACTCTGACAGACTGCAATTCTGGCTTCTTTGTATGTATGAATTTTACTATAAGCAAAAGAAATGTAACTTCAAATACCTAAGTTAGCTATGTCTACAATCACCTAACACAGTGGTTCTCAACCTTCCTAATGCTGCGACCCTTTAATACAGTTTCTCATGTTGTGGTGACCCCCAACCATAAAATTATCTTCATTGCTACTTCATAACTGTAATTTTGCTACTGTTAGGAATCGTAATGTAAATATCTGATATGCAGGATGTATTTTCATTGTTAAAAATTGAACATAATTAAAGCATAGTGATTAATCACAAAAACAATACGTAATTATATATGTGTTTTCCGATGGTCTTAGGCGACCCTTATGAAAGGGTCGTTCAACTCCCAAAGGGGTCGCGACCAACAGGTTGAGAACCGCTGACCTAACAGAACAAGGTCTCATTTAACTTACTATGATTGATGAGTGCCACCTAGTGGGTGTCACTTCTCACAAACTTCTATCTGCAATGAGATTGTTTAACTTTTCAGGATGCCAAATTTCACTCAATGTTTCTTTTAGAAATTAAAAAGGAGAAGCAAGAAACTTTTGATTTATGTTTCTTTTCTATGTATTTTTATGTATTAGTTTCTGATTTCGTTTGGGACATTACATATTTATGTAACAGGATTAAATAAACTGAAAAATAAAGATACTTGTTCAAAATAAAATTATCCTACCACTACTTTAAATCATACATTTAGAAGCACTCTTTTTGAAAGGTAAAAAAAAAAGTCAATATTCAATTTTACATACAGACTATAGTTCAATATACTTCAGATATAAACATGCAGTTTCAATAAATTACACATAAGTTTTATTTGAAGAAAAGAAAAACATACAACCACAACATTTCAATTAAGAAACTTAGGAAAATTCCAAGTGCTTTCATGGTTCTTCAGTTACCATTCAAATAACATACTTTCTTTTTAAACCAAAGTTAAAATAAAGCATAAATTCAGTAAGCAGATTGAGCAATACAAATTCAAAATACTACTCTGTCTTCCTGGGTTCTTTCCCACCACAGTGTGCTGTTTAAAGTTCCACAACTATTATCTTCTTCCTCTTGTTCCTTAGTGAGTTCAACAAAAACCTAGACGAAAGTAAATAAATAAATACAGTATGCTGTATCTCTATTACCTCAAAGACTTCTTAACTAAATCAGAAACAGTATAAGGCTATATATAGTTGCATTAACAACTCAAGTATCAAAAGATTTATTACTATTAATATGTTTAAACAGAATAATCTCCATTTATCACATACAAAGATAAATATTTTGGAGGATTAATGAATTAGTTATTTTTTAATTTATTTATGTAGCACTGTCATACAAATAATTTATCAATATTTAAGCCAGTGGTTCTCAACCTTCTGGCCCTTTAAATACAATTCCTCATGTTGTGACCCAACCATAAAATTATTTTCGTTGCTACTTCATAACTGTCATGTTGCTACTGTTATGAATCGTCATGTAAATATCTGATATGCAGGATGGTCTTAGGCGACTCCTGTGAAAGGGTCGTTCGACCGCCAAAGGGGTCGCGACACACAGGTTGAGAACCGCTGATTTAAGCAATGTAATTTGATATGCTAATGTAAAATAACCATCATCATGACCCACTTACTTTACAAAAAACTCAGCTATTCAAAATAAGCAGATGGAGCACTTAGTTATTTAAAATCATACAAAGTTCAGGAATATTGTATAAAATTTGTCTCTGGTTCATAAACTCCCTCCAATGTAACTCTAAATAATTAGATATTAGACACTTTCTTCTATAAAATAATTTTTTTAAGTTTAACTTTAAAGTACCTGTTCCAATGTTGCTTGAGAAAAGCTATATTCTTCAATGGCAAAAGTGTGTTTAGCTATTAAAATATGAAAACAATATTTTACTTATTAGTATTTTAAAGAATAAAAATGGCAGTAAGTACTAAGTGGCTATCTTTTTTAAAAAAACATAATCTCTGTAATTAATTCATTTAAATTTGAAGCTACCAGAACATGTTATTTTCTTTATCTTGCTTCATTTCTCTTCTCCAGCCAAAAAATTCCTCATGGGCTAAGCACAATATGTTTAATATTACTTGCCTCTTTTTGCCTTTTCCAAGCATCTCCTTTGTACTTTATCTTCTTCCTCTTTATTCCTCTTTTCATTTATTTTTATCTCTATGCTCTATTTCCAATTCTCATTGCCTTCTTGAACTAGATTCATACATCCATATACTTTTTAAAAATACTTATTTCAGCTCTTTTTGCATCTAACACCACATTTTCAGGTTTTCTATTCATTCTTTTAATTATTCCTAAGTAGTTCAGGTGATCTCTTTAATCATAAAGAAATCACCAGGAAATACAGGCTGTTTCATAGTTATAAATACCATAAAATAACCTGCATCTGAATACTTGCCCCATCCAGGAGCTTACTACTGCCCTCTACTGCCACCAGCGTATCTCTGTCCATTTATTTTAAAAAGGTTAAGATTCAATTAAGCTTCTGTAAAGCTTTTAGGAATGCCCACCCTCCTGCACCATGAATTTTCCTCTCCTCTCTCCTGATGCAACTGAAGTCTTGCTACCATTTATACTTCTATGGCCCAATATGAAGAAGGGATTCAAGAAACTCAAAGCTCCCACTTCTAGATTGACTTGTGAGGGCTAATTAAGCTGAACTTTATCATAGACGCAATGTGAAAAACTGTAGTTATATCTATCAAAATAGGAAAAGGTTCATCCTGCAATATTGGTGATCTACCAAATCCCAACAGTATTAGTACTTACCAATATCTTATATTAAATTAATAAAAAGCTACCTGCCTATTTACCATGGTTTTTATAATAAACTGAGTCCCAACTTCTAAATTTTTAAAATAAAATTCTTTTATAATTTGAAAGCTATGTTCTTCAGATATTACTTACCTTCTTCCAGCTTAGAAAAAGACTGTGAAAGGGACTGAACATCTTCCTTAGGAATTTTAAAAGCCAAAATTGAAGAAAAACTGAAAACATAGATAAGATAAAATATAGGAAAATTTTAAAATTATTATTACTGTGTTCTGAAGCTAAAGTTCAAAATATTTGAAGTTCAAAAGTAAATGCCAATAACTTATTCTGACATTTATTTAGATAAAAATTGTTTGAAATCTTGAAATTTTCCATGCAAATGAAATAACTCTCATTACTACTAAATAACAACTTTAAAAGTTTAAGTAGTATCATATATTGAAAGATCTAACACTAAATTAGATATCAAACTCCAATCATTCGACTACATTAAACCCAATATTATTCCAATACAGATTTTTTTCCCTAATCCTTAACACAGCAACACATTTTTATGATTACTCCACAAAAAATATAATTCAATGTTTAAAATCTTTACCTTTCCTGACGGCTTGCATTTGGGAAAATATACTGGATTTCTCTTTGAAGTCGGTCTATTTCTAAGTTTTCTATCCAATCCTTTAATTTAATTTCCAAAAAGTAACCTTTTCCAAATTTACTCTTTAGATGCTGGACTGTTCCAATACATCTGCAGTAATGAAAGGTCAGATATAAAATAGCTTGACAGTTTAAAAAAAAATGGTTTCTCAGCCAAAAAATGATTTAAATAAAATTTTTATGAGGGAATACTTTTAAATTTATAGAAAAGTAGCAAATATTCAGAGCCTTCAAGCACCCCTCCCCCAGTTTCAGTGTCCCTAATATTATCGTCTTACATCACCATGGCGCATACGCCAAAGTCAGGAAACCAGAATTGGCGTACTACTATTAACGTTACTTGACTTTATATTGCACTCGTTTTTCCACTAACGTCCTTTTTGGTTCCAGGATCTATCCAGGATACCACATTGCACACGGCTGTCAGGGCTCCTTAGTCTCCACTGGTCTGTGACAGTGTCTTACTCCTCCCTTCTTTTTCGTGACTTCTGGGAGTTTTGAGAAGAACTGGTCAGGTGTTTTAGTGGAACGTCCCTCAATTTGGAGTAGTCTGATATTTTTCTCACACTTAGACTGGGGCTACAGGTGTTTGGAGAAAATATCACAGAGCTTAAGTACTTTGCTTATCCCCTCATATCAGGCAGTCCATGACATCCACGTGACACTGTCTGGTTAAAGCAGCGGTACTTCCCAGGTTTCTCCGCTGTGACGTTACCACCTTCCCCTTCCGTACATTGGAAGAAACTGCCTAAATCTCCCACACTTGGGAGACGGGGGATTAAGCTCCCCCTCCTAGAGGGGGTAGTATCTACAGATTTATGTGAAATCTTTCTGTAAGGAAGATTTGCCTCTTCTCCCACATTTATTTATTTATTCAATCATTTATTTACATGAGTATAAATTCATGTACATTTATTTTATACTTTAGGTTATAATCCAATACACTGCCTAATAATTTTTGAAATAACAGACATTACACCTGAAAATAACATTCCAGATTGTTGAATAATTAAGCCAATTCCAAATGCAAAGCAGCTAGCCTTATTTTGGGGAAAAATTACATATTTCCCAGTAATTCTATACAAAGCCAACTGATTCAAAAAATCAAACAAGAAAAATTTTTTTGACATTTTTACATGATGACATTTTTACATGATGACATTTAAAATCCACCCCATATCCTCCAAATGGCTGTTCGGATATGTACCTTAACTGCCCAGCTATCATGATAGCCACTCGGTCACAGACAGCCTCTGCCTCTTCCATGTAATGAGTGGTCAGAATAGCAGCCCGCTTCTTGTTTTTAAATGCAGTTCGAATTGCTCGCCTACAAAACAGAAAATAAAAAAGGAGGAAAGTATCTGAATGTTAATGAAAAATTCCCCGTGTTTTAAAAAAATCCAATTATTTGATTAGAGTAATTAAAACATCAAATTTCACTTTCTGGAGTTATTATATTTTGCCCAACTATGATTTTTCTATTCCAATTTATTTTTCCCTTATTTTTAAAAGCCTGTAGAAAAGAAATTTCATGATTTCAAATGTTTCTATGCTTTAAAAAATGAATTATGATCTCATTCATATGTGTACTCTAATGGACAAAATGAATGAATGAACAAAATAGAGACAGACTCATAGAGTAGGCTGACAGCTGTGGCGGGGGTGCTGGTAAGGGCTGGGATTGAGGGATTGAGCAAAAAAGAAAAAGAGAGA